GTTCATTATTTTGTAATCAATTCGATCAAGTATTATTATTATTATTATTATTATTGTTATCATCAATCATCATTCAAATTATTTATCAAAAAATACAGATATCGTAAAAAAATAACGTTTTTTTTTAGATTTTAAACATATTTATATATTTAAAAAATACAGGTAAGGGTATACAGGTTGTTTGTCCCAGTGTCCAAGATGTGTTTTTCTCTAATCTTCAGAATGCAAAAAAATGGCCACACCTTAACTTTCTTTAGCTTTTATTTTCAAAACTGTATTTAAAGTGTGTTTTTAGTCATACCCCTCATACCCCTTGTATTATACTTTAAATAGTTTTAGTACATTAGACATTTACCATCTAATTTATAATGTTTTCTTGTCTTCATTTTATTTCTCTGATGGAGCGCTTCTGCTGTATTTATAAAGTAGTTTCGAGTCTTATCGCTAGGGGGCGGTACAGTCATGAGTGAGCGCAGCTCCAACCTGCTTGCCTGATGATGACTGAGGAAGAAGAGCGGCACACAATGCACAGCAGCACGGCTGACAGACAAGGGTTGTGTCGCCCTCATTTTCACCATTACTCCCCTAGRTTCGTGGAAACTTGTGAACGAACAGCAGCGGAGCGGTTCCGTTTCTCTTTGTATATATCCACTGACTGGACTCTGTGAGGTTAAGAGACCGATAAACGACGGGCAAGACGGTTTAACTTCTTCCAAACATTGGATTATTATAAAAGAGGCTGCATGAAGGAGCTGCCCAGCCCAACGGGGGGCTCGAGTCGACCGACATCCTGGAAATTGACACCGAGGCTTTAAAATTTGGGCCTTAGGCTTKATTTTTTTCTTGTTGTAAAGGAAGACTGAAACGATAGTTCCCCGTGATTACGAGGGGTGTCAATATTCGTTAGATGATTCACATTTTAAGAATGCCATATGTAATCTTTGTTTAACATCTAAAGGATTTTTGCGGTTGATTTATCGGGCTAACGCTAGCCGCAGTGCTAACGTTACGTCTTTCTTTTGATGTGATGTGAATTCAACCATCGGCCGTCAACATCTCGACAGGAGGAGGAAAATTAGCTTTTTACTAGTTAGTTAGCTTCCAGATTCACTGCTCGGTTTGACAGACATTATGGATACGTTGCAACAATACCGTCAGCTCCTTTAATTACTGTCCAAAAAATTTGTAATATTACGCGTTAGCCGTGYTAGCAAAAAAGAGCTAATCACCGACCTAACGTCAACAATCCCGAACCAGACAGCTCTTTAAACCATTAAGATTTAACTTCAGTTGTCAAGATTACCACGTACAAATTTACATTATTACCAAACTGTATGATTTTAATAATACACTTATTAGTGTAATTAGCTTATTTGGTGTTAGCCCAGTAAGGTTTTTATTTGATAMTATATCCTGTTAGATACATTTTTTCCTGTTTACATGTGTTTATCATCTGTAAATAATAGTCCGCGGTAGAATTGGGTATGTCCTTTCTGTGTTATGTCGTGGATCTGAGTTTGTGTTCGGATTTATTGAAATGACACTAAAGTTTCGCAGAAAGACGGGCGCTGGTGCCAGTAGACTGTTGTCAGAGGACGGTAAATAATAAGAGCCCCTGGTTCCATTACACCGTTTAACGGGGGGTCCAGTTGAAGGCCTGTGTGGCTTTATCTTATTTATTTTTTATTTTTTTCCCCCTCTGCGGTTCGGTGCCTTCAACCGGACCGGGAATTAAATAAAGTGCCTTTGGTCCTGTTGGAGTTACAAAGGGAGGCGGTGTTCGAACATGGAGGGCCCGAGCAGAAGCGCTGCACTCAGACATAACCGTCGGTCCCGTTCCCAGCGCGACAGGGAGCGGCGGCGGAGGAGGGTGGACCTGGCCGACGCCATGTCCCTGTCCTCGGGCTCCGATCGTGAGACTCGTGGGACCAACAGCGTCCTCGGTCCCGGTGGGAGGGAGTGTCGGCCCGGATATGGGAGACACAGGCCTCCACGTCGGAGGAAGAGGGAGTCCGTGTCCTGCGAGGAAGACATCATCGATGGCTTCGCTATCGCCAGCTTCATCAGCTTGGAGGCTCTGGAGGTAAAAAAAAAAAAAAAAAAAAAAAAAAATATCATCATCTGGGGGGTTTTGCACACATCAGCTGTCATTCATCAAACTGCATCCCACACCACTGTGAACACAGTGATTGATCACTCCTTAATGTAACGTGTCAGGCAGTGGGCACGCTTCTTCACTCTRCATTATTTTTGAGATGACTGTTTTGATCTTTCAACATCACATCAAATGATACCTTTTATCTTGGAGCTAAAGGTGTTAAAAAAAAGGCTGCACATTAAACTCATTAGCTCTGACACCATTTTGGAGAAAGCAATTCAGACTAACCCAAAACCCCAAGGTATCTTTAGTGACAGGTTTTGGAGAACATTTAATTATTCATGCTCTAATTCTGGGAGGTGTTGATGAGCTGCTTAATGGCTCATTAACAAAGAAAGAAGAATTGAAGTATGTATTACACATTGGGCTGGTTATGCGTTAAGTACATATTTTGCCCTAGCATTTTATATACTGTAATACCTCTGGTTACTTGTCTATAAATCATGACAGTGCAGGAAATTAAAATGTTCTTACCAATATACACAAAAACAACAAACACTGTATATTTTACTGTTTTTTTAAGTACCTAATCTAACTCGGTGCTCAGATACCAAAACATTCTGCTCATTCAGGAGATAAGTGTCATGACTTTTACACATTTAACTTGATTTAATTAACTTTATTTAGAAACATTGCCACAAAGAAAATAAATTAATTTGAAAAAACCTTCAGCTTTTAGCTAATGCTATGCTACTTTTGACTACTGTTCTGTAGGGCTTCGTCTAGCACTTTGCTTTCTGCTATTTTCTTTTCTAGTTTTTTAAACATTGAAAGATACAGTCTGACTCAAAACAAAATCAGGTTTTCAACATTAATTTATAATTTTTTGACGTCTGCATCAAGATGGAAAACCAAATAATTTACCACAGGTTATGTTGTAAAGCTGCACATTCACACWCGGTCAAACAGACCCTCTGTTCTCCTGAGCAGCTCGATTTTCCAGTCAAATCAACCTGCAAATTTCAGGTTGTGGACTGGTTGCTGTCAGAGACCAGTAAATGTGGCTCAGCCAAGACTCTAGTGCGGGGGTGGGCAATCCTTGCCCTAGGGGGAAGCTATCCTTCATGCTTTATGCTGGGTTCACTTCGATTATCTTGATTGCTCTGAAGATAATTTTWGGAGATATTCCTGCTGCGTGTGGTGTGTTAAGAGTGATTTAGTCAATTTAGCAGGACGTTGGGGCCGCTCTGATCGCAAATCGGGGATATTCAGCTTGTTGGATTGTTTTGGCCTGATAGCCCAGACTGTGTGGTTATCCCTGCAGACAAACGAGCTAGCAGCCTGTTGAATGTGACTGGTAGCTAATCAGAAAGCAAGGTGACAGAAACACAGAGAGAAATCCAAAAAACTGTCTTCTTAGAAAGTCCACTGCTTTTAAAACAAATGTWAACTTTTTGTCAAACTAAAGCTGCTAATGTACAAAACATACAGTTAAATAAGTGCATGTGGCAACATGAACGTTTTACCAATGATTATATTTACCTAGTAACTGAATGTAGGTATGAAGCCAACGTTTGAAACAAACAAATGCCATCCTCTAATGGATCTTTTTGTTATAGTTTCTGCTTTTAGGTTGTAATGCTAAAGAACCTTCATCAGTAGTAAAATATTTTCACCTTTTTAATTTTATTTGTTGCTCCTACAGCTAATACTTTCTCACACTAGGAGAAGGGTGAAAAGAAAACTGGTTTCATTATGCAGAGGTGCTTCTTCTTTCTATTTTGTAACGTGGTGGTGGTATAGTTCCTTCTAACATCATCTTCCCCCAGGAGGAAGATATAAAGGCAGAAACCTGCCTGCCTGAATAATTTTAGTGGTTCTGTTTGAGTGTCTGCTTATATCTTCAAGTAGTTGTTTTGATTTTATATATAAACTAGAGAAGCGTGTAAGCACTGAGCAATGAATGGCAGCTGAAATTACACAAAGAAGCTGAAACTGAGTGTTACTGCCAAAGGAAGCAAAACACTAGCTAATAGCTAAAAGAGCTAAATGTTAGTCAAAGGTTTAAAGTACCAAAAGGCTAGCAGCAGTAACAGAACAGCTGCAAAAACCCAAAAGAAGTAAAATGGTAGCTAGTAGCTAAAAGAAGCTCAAAGGTAAAAATACAAGAAAGGTTARCACAAAGATAAATAAAGCCAGTTTGTTAAAGCAGGGAACAATGGTTTTAAAGCAATTGCAGAGATGTCGGTGTTCTTCAATAAGAAAAATGTTTAGAAACAAAATATTTGTAAACCTATTTMACAAATTTGAAAATATAAAAGTTAAAAGCTCATCTAAGGATAGCCAAACTTACACACAGTAGAAATTATCATATTGCAGGGGTAAGATTAGATACAACAGAACAACAAGATATAATGTGAAGGGATTATTCTGTACAGACTGTAAAGCATTACATCATTTAATTAGTCCAGTCACGCTCTGTAGAAACTTTGTAGGATGCTTCCTCATAAAGACATTCTGTTTTCATGTAAATTGCCTTTTATCAACAGCTTGACATATCTACATTTTGTGCCATTTAAAGGCATTAAAACCTCATCCTTTTCCTTTCTTATCAGATGGACTGTTCTCTTAAGCCCAGTCAGCGCAACGATATTCTGGGGAGGAGAACCAAAGGAAAGAGGGGCCCGGAGGAAAACGGYGGAGGGCCGTTGTCGGAGCCCGAAGAAGGAGCCCCACCAAGCAACTCCAGCAGCTGCTGGAAGAAGAATAGTAATAAAAGAAGGAAAATAGAGGTGAAGACAACACCCCTGACTGTGCACTCACTTGGAATCTTAGATGTTGAGATAATTCTTGATCAAACAACTGTTTGTAGCCTCATAGTTCTTAATCACTGCTCTACCTGTTATTCAAAAAGAGCAAGTAAAACTGGTTCACAGTCATGCTGTTGAGCAACATCTATGTTTCTTTGGTGTTTGAAAAATTAAGCAGTGAAGGATGGCTGCTCATAAGCTGGAAGGAAAACGTTATTTTTTTAAGTTAAAGCCCAATAAATAAAAACATAACAATAATTGTAAGCTGTTGATGTTTATGTTGTTCTTTTTGTTGCCAGGGTCCTCACTTGGAAACTGGTTACATTGTAAGTTTTCTTTTCCAAAATTGGAGTCAGTGTTATCTGAAATATTTTGGTAGATGCTAATTCCACTTTTGTTTTTTTCTCCTCTGTTAGTGTGACACTGAGAGTGATGCAGGAGACAAGGTGTGTACTGTTTCTGATGTGTCGTAATGTGTTCGCCTCATTTTCAAATTTTGTCACGGCTTTAGAAGTTAACGAATGTCATTCTGTTTTTCTCTCTGTAGGCCTCCGATAATGACATGGATCCAGTGTTCACAGTCAGCACTAGAAAAGGTTAGAAACCCATTTCTGCGCGTTCACAAGGATGTTTATTTTTGTTAACTTCTTTAAAGTTACAATAAGAAGTTTTGATTTAAATATATAGTATACAGTTCACAGAGACACTTTTCAAAGAATCAACGGTGTGTTTATTAAAACCAGAAAGCTCATATTTTATKGTTAATGTTCTTTTCATCTAAAATAACAACAAAAGTTGTACATGCTAAAATAAAATGACATTTTCATTTTAACATAAATTTAAGTAAATACAACAAAACTCCTGCAAAACTTCAAAACTCCTGAAAACAAATGCCAGGAGGGATGCAAGTTGTCATTTAGTGAAAGATCCACTTTGACCCCAAAGATGTTCTTTATGTCCATCCAGTTTCTTATTTGAGAGTTATTATTGCACCTTCCTTTTGTGTAAACATTTATGTTTTTGCTAATTTTGCAAGCGCATAATGTTTTCATGTTTAGTAAATTGTGTTATAAGAAGATAATTTCTGCAAAAACCTGAATTATTTAAAACACAATATTTGCAAAACTTAAATGATTCTTATGTGAGGCAAGATAACGCTGTACGTGATATAAGGATAATTCAGCAAAGTGAGGACCTTAACCAGTGATGCTTTTTTATTCTTTTCCTCCAGTTGTGGATCCTGCTCCTGCAAACATGAGCACATCCGTGGGTAAAACGTGCCCCCCTCTGTCAGCACGCTGTGGAGGGGTGTCACGCTTGATGGTGACCCCGCGAGTGTCCGGCCTGGAGCGAAGTCAGGAGAAAAGCCTGGAGCTGCACTTCCCAGAGCCCATTTCTTCTACCTCTTCAGTTTACCTTCCTCGCCGGTCTTCCCACTCTCCGGTCGCCGCCTCGAGCTCTGTCCCGCGGTCCAGCCCGATGAACGGGAACAGCGCTCGCCAYGGCAGCCCGCCACTCTCCAAACCCAAACCCTTCCTCACTTTGCCTTCACGGTCCCACCCTATTTACAACAGGTCTGTTTCTTACATTTCTCAGCAGCCTTCAGTCTTCGCTGCCTGATTTATTTATTTCTCTCCACCTCGATCTTCTCAGGAGCAGCACCCCAGTCAAGCCTCCATCATCTGCTGCCTCATCCTCCTCAATGCGTCCTCCTACTCCCTCCACCAGTGTCTCTCTGCCCTACAGTCGAGGTTCGGGCTCCTCTGGGCCCATCCGACCCCCTTCTCGAGCCAACTCGGGGGCCATGTTCACTCCCTCACCCGGTCTGCCTCCTCCTCCACCTCTGCTACCTCCTGCCAACTCAACAGCAGCAGGTACGGAGAGCAGACCTGGCACTGTCCACTGCTTTCAGTCTGTTGCTCAGAGGAACACGGTGTCTGCGAAAATAAACCAAACTCAGACTTCCTCTGGTGGTTGTCTGGGTTTGCCGGGGGTATTGAGGAAGTTGAACATTGGTGAAGTGAGATCTAATCTTATTAGCTCAGCAAGTGTTGCATTTTTCTTACAAAGCAGAAGTTCTATGTGTGACTTGTCTTTGAGTGTATGTGTAGTGTTTAAAGACAATCCAGGCTGTGTTTCTTCTTTGTTTCTTCTCATTCATGTAGTGTCTTAACATAAGGTCAAAATGAGTCATGAGTTTTCAAAGTTTACTTCCAGCTCCTTATCTTAACACAATCTCGTACTACTTGCCGTCACCAGAGCACGAGGGCAGACGCAGCGTGCCAGGGGATGAAAATAACTCGACGGCGACGGGCCGCGCCACCCCCGGTGCTCCGTCGGCGTCGAGCTCCGCCTCAAGCTCCTCCGGCCGGACGTCCCAGAACCAGACGAGCATCCAGCCGCTGGCCTTCCAGTTCCATCAGCACAACCACCAGCACCAACACACGCACACACACCAACACTTCACACCCTTCCTGCACCCCTCAGCCACCGCACCTCCTCTGGTGAGAACACCTGCGTCGTACTATCCTCCTGTGCGCCTGGAATCTTTCCGAAACATTCTCATGTTTGTTATTTCACGTCTTGATGTGTTTGCTTTCAGTTCGAGAAGTATCCTGGCAAAATGGACGGAATGTATCGACATCCTGTAAGTATCTTATCCTAGGCGGTGATAATGTCGTACAAATTCAAGTGATTAAGAAGGAAGTTCTAGGAACAGATTGTTAGTTTATAGTATGACGGGACGCTCATGTCATGGGACAGGGCGAGATGAGATCAATAAGGAATTTAAAAGACTTTGTAACAGTGATTAATTGTGTGTCTTTGTGTTTTAGTTCTTTCCACAGTACCCGCCACCCTCAGTGTCAAGTATCCAGCCTGTGATTCCTCCCACCGGACCTTTTAGCTCCTTGCAAGGAGCATTTCAGCCAAAGGTGAGGGGAAAAAAAATCTTTGCTTCACATAATTGAGGTTTGCTGAAGTGAGTGTTTATTTGACGCTTGATAACTCAAGCTTTGTTCATTAAGAGTAATTAGATAAGAAAAATGTCAGATTTTACTTGATTTGAAGGCATGTAGCTCAGTAAGGTGTGGCTCATGTGTTGTGCTGTGTTTGACAGCCTCTTGTCCCTCAGGGAACGGCTCCTGATATCACCGCACGACTTGGGGTTGTGCCTCACCACCTGCAGCCCAAAGACCCCAGGGTAAGGACAACGAGCGAACGTGCCGTCCCTGCTCACGTTTACCAGTTAGGCTAAGATGTGCTACAACAATGGGCCTAGTCAGAGCAGTAAAGAGTGAAAAAAAATTTTTTTTAAACAGTCAGATGTGTTTAAAGTGGTTTTGCACTTTTGTTCTCTTGTAGCTAACTGATCCTTTTGGGACATCGTTGAAAATCAGTAATGTAAGCAAAAACAGATGTTCTTGAATCTCTTGACTCCTTAAAGCATTCAGCCTTTTTCACTGTCTCACTGCTTCACTCATTCTGCACTAATCTCACTCGTAATGCTAACTGCTTCTGGTCTGTYCTTCGCCCTTGCACACCCAGTTAGATATAAACCTATAAAATCACTCGATGTATATTGTATGTGGCTTTCTTTTCTTGTATTCCTTATTTTCACTCTTTCTTTGTGTGTGCGCATATTCAAATCTGTGGTGCACAGTAGGCATGGGCCGGTATGAGAATCTGATGGTTTGATAGTTTTGAGCAAAGCATTAGGGCCAAAGAGTCAAAAGGTTGTTTTAAAACAGTGATTTTCTTTTTTTTAAACAGATTATAGAGGATGTAACAGACGTAATTCACCATGAGCAGCTTTTATGTTTGGCCAGCTGTTATGTTGTCTACCCTAAAGACAAGGTGTGTTTGAGGGGAAAAAATAAAAACTTTGAGATAGGCCTGGGCAATAAACTGAAAAATAACCGATATCGACATTTATGTCAATAAGCGACATCTTTTTGCCCATGTCTGTATTTTTGGTGTTTAAAAAAAATGAGGAAAATAGAAACCTGCTTGCTTTCTGTTGCCGTCTCCTTAAATCCACCCAGTCTGTTACAGATTTAAACAGACGCTGCTTTCTACAAATCAAACGAACCCCCACAGCTTTATCCAATCAGAGCAGAGCAGGGCGGGTCTTTCTGACGTCGGTGCAGCAGTCTGCAGGATAAACACCGGTCAGCCTGCAGCTCCTGTCCTTAGCAAGCAAACCCCGTCTTCTCTCCACACTTTGCTCCCGAGCTACCAGAGACAATGGTGTCTAAAACCTAACACACTATAAGTTTATGTGTTCAGAGTTCGTTATCGAACAGATTATGTTCAACTTTGCTCGCTTGACCAAACTCCACGCCTCAACAGCGCTGTTACAGGAGCGAGGTGCACACAGGCTGAGTTGTTCTGTGAGAGCCACTGTTTCACCCCCCCCCCCCCCCCAAAAAAAAAAAAAACCTGCTTTGTTCTTTTTGTAGTTTATCCTAAATATATACAAATTTCATTCTTCACAATACATCTTGCTAATATTTAGAACCATACTGAGACTGAATTGCTCTTTGATTCAATAAATGGTCAAATATGAAGAATAAACAGTATTAAATTACTAATTGAGCTCGTTATATAATATTTTTGAAAGAAATAGTTATTTTAATAGGGAAATCAGTCAGTCTAACAAATAAAAATATATATTTAAGTTATTTTGTGCAGTACAAAAGACATATTTGGTATATATATATTTAAATATAAAATTATAATACATAATGTGTTTGCACTGAAAAGTTATGGAGATGGTTTAATATTTGTATGACTATATCTGACTCAAGTCTTGCCAAAAATGTTTTTTATTAAATATATTAAAAACACTAAAATGATAAATATAAACTACAGAAAAGCTGTTCAAAATCTAAACTGTGTACTTTGACTAAGAACATGGACACAGTGTATAATGTTATGACTATACTATACCGTGTACTTGTGTGTGGTGGTGGGTGGTAAGAGTTATCGTGCATTTATCATTATCGAGGTGAACTGGTCAATATAACATTATATTGATTTTTAGGCCATGTCACCTACTTTGAGATTAGGGGTGCACCGGTTTCTTTTATTTTGGGAGATCGGCTGATACTTAAAAAAGTGAGAAACGTCAGCTTCTCCACAAAGGTCTGAAAAATCGGCCACTGGCTGTGTCCAAATTCAGATGCCGGGTCCTTGGTAGACTGCGAAGACCAGAAAAAACTGACTAAGGATGTTCAAACACACTTCAGATATTTTTTTTCCCTGAATTGATGTTCTGTCTTTTTGTGACCATAAATATTTTAGGGGAATGTCCTCCTTTTTGACATCCTGACTTTTTAACCCTGTGGTAAAACTTAAACTGGTAACTGGCCCATGCCTTGATCTCTGCTTGCTCCAACCTTGGTTAAAGGCTAGACGCCGCGTTTTCGAATTACAAGAACATCTGACTCTGTGTGCAAAGGCTTTAAAGTTGTGCATGCARTATTCATGGAATATTATAGTAAACRTCTTTAATTTTTCTGCAGAAACCAGGAAAATGGTGTGCTATGCATGTATATGTGGCCCGGATGATTTTAAACCACCAGAGAAATGTAAAGGTAAGGGGTTGTTGACGATAAGGAGCTTCGTTTTTCTGATTGTTGTGTTAATTGTGGCCACCATATTAAACCATTCCACTTATTTATTTATTTTCAGCTGATGCAGGCTGATCCTCACAAGTTGGACTTTCGGAGTGATCCACTGGCCCGTTTTCCTGGAGCTGTGGGTCTGGGCCAACTGGGTCCTTTGCCTCCAACTCACGACTTGACCAGACCTCCCACTCTCTTCCCAGCTGCAGGTGAACACATAAAAATTCTCAAAAATAAAAGCAGATTTAATGTTCGTAAAGTCAAGATTTTGGATATTTTTTGATTCGGTACAAAAAATACATTTTGTTTTTGGCATAGACCCTCATTTCTTTTTTGATTTAATTCCTCTTGTAAGACTTTTTTTAACTTCTTGCCTTCAGGTGCAGTCAATCCATCTTTAGCTCCTTACATCTCCTCCCCAGCAGCACACTCCTCATTCCTCCCACCGGCTGCTCACTTAGGTAGGAGAAGCTTTAAAGGTAATATTTTTAATTTATTTTGAACATTCATGGCTTCTTTCATATATTGTTCTTACTCTAATAAACATTTACTCTGACTGGAACTTAATTTCGCTTCAAAACCATTGAAATTGTTGCAGAATGTTTATATCTACACAGCATTTCTGATGATTTTTTTATTTATTTTCTAGATCCATATGGTCGTTCCCCACCCTTTACTCCACTTGGAGCTCTTGGTTCTGGTGCCTTTGGAGGACTTGGCAGCCCAACACTGGGTAGGTTTTATATGGTTTTATTATGGGTAACCCAAAAAGCCTAGATGAAGGGTTTGGTTATGTTTCTTATTAAAATCCATTGTGGACGTTCAGAACTGTGTTAAAACTGCACAAATAGTTGCTCTGCAGGCTCGTAAAGCTTCAGGTAAACAGGAGGAGATCCAGGAGGTAAAGTTGAGCTGAGCTGTTTTCAGACATCCACTCTTTTTTTATTTTATTCTGAAGCTTTCAAAACCAATGGTTGGTATCGTGTCTGGACAAGTGTTAGCTTGATTTTTTTTCCCCCCCATCACAGCTAAAGTCTGATTTGAAAGCGGTTAGTTTTCAGAAAACTGCATCCAGTGTTTTGACATACTAACGTGACCGTGTGTATTTGGAGTATCAACAGTCCAGAGTTAAAAATAAAGGAGTTATGTCAGCCAATAAGGATCCTTAGTATTTTTTAAAGAACAGTCAAACACATTTATAGGGACTGTGATTAATTGTCTGGTTAGTGTGATGCATTATTTTTCAAAATAACACAAAGTTGAGTTAATTTTTAATGTGTTTAACAGGTGCCTTATTTTAAACAGTCTGCCTAATTATCTCTCCTCTTGTAACAGTGCAGAAARGACTTTATCTATTGAGATGGTATTAGGTCACTCTGTTCCGACTTGTTGGAGAACGGTTTTCATGTGGRAGTCTCTAAAATGTCTCTAAACTTTTCTGAGGGCGTTCAGTGTTTTCACTTGAGCTGGCAGTTTTGTTTGAATTTTGAACATGTCATAAACATTTAAAACTTGTCTCAAGAGCTAAAGCTGTGTAGGAGCGCTCCTCTGCCAGAAAACATGTCCAGGTCCAAAAACCACACCCTATTAACCACAATATCATTTTTAAAAATGAATCCATGRCTCCTGTTTTTATTCTGTGTAACTATTTTGAGAAAGACTGGTGGACTAGACTCCACATTTGAAAACACTGGTCTGGAATACACTTTTACAAGCTGTGTAAATAAGCAGGAAATAAATAGTGATTTTCAGAAACTGACCATGTGGCTGGCTCGGTCACTAACTCTCAGAATTCAGAGACTTCGGCATAATATTTGCATATTTTCTCCCACTATTGAGTCAAGTTTGAGTCTTCCAACAGCTGCAGTCCAGTGAGACACAACATGAACATGACTTCTCTCAGTTATGTAGGTAGTTACCGGTAATGCAAAAGTGCATGACCAGAGTTAATCTGAAGCTAAAATTAGCCCAATGAGATAAAATCAAATCAAACTGGATGTATCACCAAAACAAACAAGAAGTAGATTATCTCTGTGTTCCTCCGACAATGAAGGCTAGAACAAAAAGTTACTGGACTTTGTGCTTTACATCCATAAAACGTTTAATTTGACTGAAGTTGGTTAATAAAGCATGTTATTTTAACTGACAATACAAGAGGAAAGGTGTGACTCAACAAACTTGAATATAATACCTAATTATAAAAATAAGGCACAAAGCAGCTTTTCCATTATGGACAGTGTTATAGTTTAGAACTGTGAGTCATAATCTCTGTTTACGGAAACATACTAAGTAGAAACGGTGCAGTCTTCAGCAAAGTCGTAAGGTATGTGACTATAAGTGCCTACAACTTAACTACGACACATGAATGTGCCACAAATCAATGTTTATGGTTGTTTTATGTCACTTGAAGGATTAAGTTAAACTATTGCTCTCTAGTCTGGGGAAACAAAAGGTATTGTTTGTAATGTTACTTTGCTAATTCAAAATGCTGTATGCTCATGTATGTGTGGTGAGTGTGTGCATGGATATAAACACTTTGTGGTAGCTTGATGAGGATAAAATGAAGCTTCAGCTCTTTAAGATGGATTAAATTAGATGTTGGTTTGACATCTCACACCCATCAACCACAGTGGTCCACTGCAGTGTGATGTCACATTTCCAGATCGTCTGATTTTTAAAATGCAGAAAAAGAATAATCACATCAACGCGTCAGTCAAGACAAATGTGCACTGTCTTAAAATCTTTCTTTAAAAGGGTCTCTGATGATTTTGTTTTAYGCAAACGAACCAGATTTTGTTTTTCTTAGTTTGAGGAACGAATTGAAAACAGTTCTTCTCCGTCGTGTTGTTTGGGGTTAAAACTGGGTTAAACACAGCTTTGCACCAATGACAAAATGTTTGTGTCAGTCATATCTGTCCTGGTTATCTCTGCCACTCAAAACCACAAGTACTGAAACTTTACTACATGATTAAAGTTGATGCTGAGAGTTTCAAAGATTGTAGCTTTTAAAAAAGTTTGTAAACTTGGATCACATCTGTTTCTGTAGAAAATAAATCACGAGTTGAGTTAATGTTATGACGGTTCAATAATAAATGCAGCTCAATGTCCTTTTCTTTACATTCATATTGAAAAACCTGGAGTCGTGAACTCCAGTTGTTTGTGCTGAAAACAGGAACCGGTATTGTTGTTGCTTCTGAAGAAGCTGCTAAACCTTTCTCACAGCAGTTTTCTAAGAACTGTATGATCGTAGCTGATTATGATGGTGTAGATTCTCAGTCATCCAGGACATGCCAAATAAATAAAATATTTAGACTTCATTCTGTTAAAGACGTTTCGCTTTCCATCCGGGAACTGATTAACTTCTGCTGGAGCTAACAACCAGCCCTTGTTAAATCACTTACTTCAACTTTTTGTCCATTTTCGTGTAGAGCTGTGTTATTGTAGAAGTTTGGGGGAAAAAGTGCCGTTGACTGTCTGAATTCCGATAGAGAAGTAAGCAGAAAATGTTCATTTAAACTATTACCTTAATTTCGAAGGACATTCCGCCTTTAAATCATAATATTCTTTAAAAGTCGTACCTTTTGAATGACTGAACGTACAGAAAACCCGGACCCGCCGATCCACATATTGTCACACCCACTCACCCGTCTTGTGTTAACTGCCTGAAATTTCTGATCAATGCTTTTCTTCCCCCTTAATGCTTTTCTTTCCTGTCTCGTAACACAGCTACAGCTCAGCTGTCACAGAGACATGCTGGGAATGCTGTGCAGGGGTTCGTCATTGAAATAACAAGTACAAGGTTGTATGCATTAATTTCAGTAGCCACAAATACCGGGTGCGATCCAATTACCAGTCCGCCATAACGACGTGGGTGAAACGTCTTTGGCGAAGCAGGAATGCATTTGTGGTCGTTGGGAAGTTGTCTCGATGTTTTGTTTGATGAACTAGACTGAGCTGGACGAGTTCCCAGTGCTAAACTGTTTTAATTATAGGGTAACAAGAAGTTTGACTATTTAACTTTCTGTAGATAATTAACAGGCGAGTTAAGATGGTCTTTTTGCTTTATTTTTTAATTTATATCCCTTATTTGTTACTTTTTTTTGATAATTTCTTCTTTTCTTTCTTAACAGGGAGAATTTATTCAAATGTTTTTGGTAAACAAGATGGCAGGAATAGATAAATTACTCCATGGTTTGGTTAAAAAAGTGCATTTGTGTTTTACAGCTCTGCCTCCTATCTTCATTTTTCTATCAAACCATTCTTCTACGCATTAACGACTCCACAGATTTTTTCTAACACTAAATTGTCTTTTTCACCTGTAGCTGGCTCTGTGTTTGGCCCTAAAGACCCACCGCCCAATGCGATTGGGGGTTTGTCCAACTCCAACCATCACGACCCGTGGAACCGTCTACATGGTGGTCCTTCTGGATTCCCCGCAGCCCACAGCTGGGCTAAAGCAGCAGAGAAAAGGGACGAGAGGGATCGRGGGAAGGACGGAGAGAGAAGAGAGATCCTCCACATCAAGGATGAAAAGGACAGGTATTACTTTGAGATTTGAAGAAACAGTTGATTTTATTGTGTCTCTCTCTCATTGGCTGACTTCATCCTTAGTTATAACCTGACATACTGTTTAAGAATATAAATTAACTGTTAAGGTTTTATCTATAAAATATGTTAAATTTGTTTTTGCAGAGACAACATGCTGTATGGCCGACAACCTGTGAGAATGTCTCCAGTCGCGCCCTCCTTCAAGCCTCGCAGTAGCACCCCAGTCTCCCACATAAACGGACACAGCAGTGCCCTGGGGGGGAGTGGTGGACCCATGGAGGACCTGACACGCAGCCTTAAGAGAGACAGAGACGGAGACAAGAGGCCAGTGCCAACAGTGTCCTCGAGAGGTCCCCCTCTTGGCCCTTCATCTTTAGTAGCAGACAGGGACAGACCGCGGTCTTCCTCATCTTCAGTGCTCACTACTCCGCCACCTTCCAGCCGCTCCATCCCGTCTCCTCTGGACCTTTACCCTCGCTCACAGACTCAGATGGTGCACAGCCTCCACAGCGACCCTTCACACCCCCAAAGAGACAGTAACCTCCCTGCTTCGTCCACAGCTTCTTCCTCTGCTGCTGCTTTGTCTCAGAGCAAGAAGCCCGACCGCACCACAACGCCTCACTCTAAAGCTCTGCCTTTCCCGACAGTTAAAGTCAAAGAGGAGAAGAAGGAAGAGCCAGAGAACTCCAGCTCTCTCCATCCTTCTGTGCCCAGTCACAGCTTCGAACGCCCCAACAGCCACTCACACCACCACAGTTCTGGCACTCCTTCATCTTCCTCGCTGTCGCTGACTCCCACGCCCCTCGCACCACCCACTTCAAACACTCCCTCCCACCTGCCCCTGATGGACCGCTCTAGAGCTATTGAAGCACTGATCGCCGGTCCAGAACGTTTTTCGCACGGTCACCCTCAAGGACCTCCCCAGGGTCCACACAGCTTCACCTGGGACCCCTGGAGAGATGCTGCAGTTCAGCATCGCAGGGAAGCTTTAGCACTTCAGTCAGATCCGCATCTCGCCCTGCGGTCTGGTCCGCACCTGGCCCGGCTTTTCCATCAGAGACAATTTCTAGAGGCAGAAAGGGCTGCAGCTGTAGCTGCAGCAGCCGCCGCGGCTGCACCTCAGCACCCTCCCATTTCTACCTCCACTCCCTCCTCCTCTGCGGTTCGCCAGGAGTTCGGCCTGATGGCCTTTGATCGCACCCCTAACATGCTCATTGACGAGGAGCATCGAGCCCAGATCCTGAGGGAAAACTTTGAGCCTGCTCGCTACTTTGGGCTACACCCACACCTCCCTCCTGGCTCTCACCTTTCAAGCCCCGCCGCCGCTCACCTGGAGCAGCTCCAACATGGCCTTCTCCCCCACCACCTCCCCTCCGGACCCGGCGCTGCTCCCCATCACCACGGCCTGTACTCCCGTCTTGGTCCCATCGCCCCGCACCACATGCCCAACGGCATCTTTTCAAAGACCACTGCAGACTTAGTGGGAGCTCTGTCAGTGGGGGCACCACCTCCGCTCATTCCGTCCATCACCAGTCGATCGGCCACGCCTCCTCGTGGTTCCAGACTCGGAGGGCCAGGTGAGCTGGCGCTTTACAGCACCCACAAAGATGGAGAGTCCAGATAGTACTGGGACAACACTGGAGGAGATGAAGGGAAATGTCAGGATCACTGTGCTGCTCTCAATCTGTCCACTTTTCCCCTTAGAGACTACTAAACCTTCCTAAATACACAACCAAACCAGCTCCAAACACCCAAGGAAAAATAAATAAATAAAGGAAAGAACACAAAGAGTAACCACGATAGGCTGGAGCTGATGGTTGGGATGAAAATGCAAGACTCTCAAAATGCTTGTTGCTTTTATCAGTGCAATTTAAAGGTACATGGTTTCTGTACATCCTTTTGTGTATTTTTGTTTTGTTGCAGGTTGTTAATTACAGTTCTGAGTTTTAGAAGCTGTAAGAAGAAGCAGAAGACCGATTTCTTTTGTATATTGGGTGATTTATGATCCAGCCTGTTTGGGGGTATTCGAATCGACTTCCAGAGAGTCAAACATCTTAAATCGATGTTTTCATCTTCAGCTTGGTTTAACATTTTAACATCCTCCAGTTTTTAGCATAAATTAAGTAGAAGGGTTTTAAAAACAACAGTGAAGTGGTGCTTCTTCGTGGTTTTGTCCGTTGCTGAGAAAAGACAGATCTGTGATGAGACCATTTAATTAGYATCAGTAAACATCATACCTCAGTTTCCTGGTTTACCCAAAAGTATAACTCCAGACTTTCACCTTTACTGATAATTTGTTTTTGTTTTCRAAGGGGTGTATGGTAAAATGAACTGTGCTACACTGTGTGTGAGAGTGAMCACAGTATTTTAGAGCTTCCTTTAACTGTTTCCCATTCTCCTCTTGACTATATGAGCAGGACCAGATTATAGTAGTCTAGAGAAATTGCCTTTGTAATTATTATTCGCAACATTAATTATCTTCTATAATAATAAATATATTCATTGTTACGTTATTTGTCATTGTTTGSTTATCAACCAGCACTCTCTCCACAGGAAGTAAATCATGCTGAAGGCTTGCTTCACGGGAACCTTTTTAATGCTTGTGGACATTTAAAAGCCTTATCCGTGGCAGCCTCTGGCCACTTCAAGGATCTGAACTGAGCTGAGAGCGAGGTTTGCCTTCGAGTCACTGGTTGTGCGCTGTTTGTTGGGACTGTGGGAGCCCTGTACATTGAACTGTCGAGTTGTTTCGTCAACAAAAATAAGTTATATACACGGGGGGAAAAAAGTGGAACATCTGCTGAAGAACTGAAAACAAAAGGACGTGTCAAAATGCAACAGTGGGTGTCCTGAGAGGGAAAAGACTGGGTCGGATATTTTATTATGACCATTTTATACCTTTCAAACCCTCCCCTAGAGACCACAAAGAATAATTATTAAATGAATTGTTGTTTACTTTGTTGTGTTGACCTTTTTATTCTGGATTATTTCAAAATACTACACAATGTGTGATTGCTTTTTTTAATCACAGGTAAGTACTTTTCGTTCACAACCTGAGAAAATCTGTTAATGTGCCCCAATGTAGCTTACCCCCATTGGTGTGTGAAGCGCTTTGAGTCTTTGGGGACTTGATAAGCGCTACAAGTTCAGGCCATTTACAGTTTAAAAATAGACTTATGCCCTTTTGTTAATCTGCATGGCCAAAATTGAATACAAACTTAGTTGAAAGACAGTTGCATCTTTTTTTAATCCACTTTGAGAATTTTTATTGGTACAATACCACGGAGCCCCTAAAACTGTTTGACAGTTTATAATTTTGAGTCACAACCGCTTCCATAGAATTTAAAAGGTAAAAATAATTGACATTTCAGAGCCTTGAATGTTAAGATGCTGATATAAGGTTGCACTTTCTAAAAAGAGCCTTTATAAATATATATAATCATTAGGTTATTTGTGAGTTTGTAAATGACAGTGAATTTTTATTTAAATTCATTTATTTATTTAAAAAAGCACTTATTTGGGAATATTACAGTTTKGGGATTTTTTTTTTCTTTCCACAGAAAATAACTTAAGCTTGCATCAATATAGTGACATCAAAAGGGGAAAATGTTCGCAGTGATATAAATGGCATTTTTTAAATGTTTCGAAATGTGCATGAAAAATACACCATAATCAAATCAGCTTCATAAATTGGCCAATAGATGTCCTAATTTCTAAAATGACATTGATAATTAAAAACCTTCATCAGTACTTTTTAAAAGAACACACGCATATATATTAAAATTATCTTTACAAATGTTTGCTTATATTGTATAATTTACGAAATTTGYTTGTATTTTATAAAAGGGAAGCCAAAGGAGATATTTGTAAAAAGACAAAGCACAATGTGATTTACAAGTCACAAATATTTACCCCCGCTGCAGGCTGAAATCACGTTACTAAATTCTCATCTATCTGTAAAAGTCCTGCTTAAAATTGTTAAATTTGCTATGTTTTCTCTCCACTAAAAAAAAGTATGTTTTTAGTTCAGCAGTAAATACTGAAGTTGTTCGCTGCTATTTCCCAAATTGAAGTGGCGCGCTTGACGAAATCTCGCGAGATTTCACGGTGCTGTGTACTTTGCCAGCAGCAGCGGTCCTCCACCATTTCGCTGCGTAACGTCTCCTCCCCGCGACCGCTACATTCTGCGCCGAAACCCAGTCTCTCCCGGTCCGGATTTTAACTTCTTCCCACAGACCTAGGTTTACCTCGTTGGGTACCGAGAGACGGTTTGGACTGCTGGGATCACGGATTGAGGACGATTTTGAACGGATGACGACTCCTTCAACGAGAATTTAGTAAAAGAAAATCAGTCGAAAAATTCAGGTAGGTGGGAACTTAAGATGGCGGCCTTGAGAGGGAGGGGGGCAAGGAGGAAGTAATAGGGGGACGTGAAGGAGGCTCGACCGGACGACAGGACGCAAACGGACTGCGTTTGATTTGGTTTATTTTAATTACGTCGTGTTTTTACTACAATACAGGACTGTAAGTTACAAGCAGTAACACGAACAAATCCATACATAATAGCGYGTATCGAAATTAAAGACTAATGAATGGTTTATTGTCCCGCGTCGCTTTAAAAGATCCGCTGGTGAGACTTTGTTGACCCCCCTTAAACACCCCATCAAAACCATTGCAAAATTTATATGAAACTTTTTAACAGCGTTCTGTGCATTTTTATACATTAATTTTAAAGAAACAGCAGTGAATGTCTGAGAAATAAATATTTAAACTTGAACAATTTTAGAGATTTGACCCCACGAAGTGACGTCACCAGCGAATGCCCCCTTCCTCTCTGTAGTGCATGCAGGGAGCGGGTTTTAATGAGACTTTTTTTTTTTTTTTAAAGGTTTTTGTCTCATTGTATCGCAACTTATCAAATGTCTGAAATAAACGTGAGATTTAAAGCTGAAACATTACGTAACAGTGGGAGGGAAGGCAGGGGCGCCTGCGCATGATACGAACGCACCCTGCTAACTTGCTTTTCCTTTTTCGTGCCACACAGCCAGTGTTATTGTAGAGGCTAACGTTAGCCGGCTAACCACTAGCCTGACCGGCGATGTTAGGCGTTAACTGCGCCTACAGCGAGCACTTGGAGCTTGTTGCCACACTCGCATTGGGAAGGAAAAGTCGATTTTTTTTTCTYAGAGTCACATGATCTGCGCAACCGGTGAACACACACGCACCCCCCGATTAAAGACCAGTGTGGATTTCCACGTACAACCTGCCACATTAAAGGGAACCATAGACTGAGTGAGTCGAGGTCCCGGTCGCCGGCAGCCTGCGAGCGCGTGTTTGCGCGATTCCCAGCAGCTTCCTGTGGGCGACTGCAGCAAATTCAACTTGGAGCTGCTCCACCGACAGTGTTATTTATTTATTTTTATTACTGCTGCAATGTTGCCCGATAAAACACATCAACTCACCCCGCAACTGTAGCAGTAGCTGACCAGAATGGCTGTTGTTGCTAATTTATCAACTCACGCATCGTGAAACTTGTTTTATTAATGCCATTATTAAGTGAAGCCTGTTTGACCTTTAGTGGCCAAACCGAAACATAGTTTATCATTTTTACAGTGCGGCAGATTCAGTAAAAAGGTTCAGTAGAGTTTTTTTCCCTTTCCTTTTTATTTTTTGGTGACATGTTAATTTATGAACAGAGTTACCATCTCATGTTTTTTCTTGCTTCCCCCAGAATATGTGGAAGGGATCCTAATTTCAGCATCCTGGAAGTAGAAAGCACAGAAGACCTGTGTCTCACTCCACAGTCAGGTGAGAAGTTGCTTTACACTAATAATGCCCTGATGACACTTAAATGGTTAATTTTTCTAAGGGTTTAGTTTGAATCCAACCAGTAGTTCATGGGGTATTTTACTAACAGGCAGACAAACACACGTGCAAAATGTTGCCTTCAGTAGTTTTCTCACTCACTCCCCTAAATATGTCTGGGTCTAAGTTTTGTTCCCGGTTTGTGCTTTTACTCATGCCTAAAGGTGGCAACGTATTTTATATTTCCACTGCATGATAAGTTTTGACGTAAAGTTTACGTTCAGACGTACAGTGGTTGATGCCTCAAAGCTAAGAGGTCTGGGTTCAATCCCCTGTTTGGACTCAGGGTCTTGCTCTGCAGAGCTTGCATTTTCTCCTCGGTYTTGTTTGGGTTTTGTCCGGGTGGGCCGGTTTCCCCCAACAGTCTAAAAACATGCTGGTGAATCGTAGTATGCTTTGCGATGTCCAAACATGAAGTAGTTTAAAACATTGTATAAAACAATGATTATGGAATATCATATTTGAATAATCATTATTATTGTTGCTATCACTTTTTATTATTGTTGTTGTTATTATTATTGTTTATGTGACTGACTGAACAGGATGATAGAGGAGTTCACCTAAACTTTGAAACAACCAGACCTCTGACGTTAAACAATCATTGACGCTCCCACTTTTTAAATCTCTTTCAGCAACACATCTGTTGTCATCGATTTTTAACACAGCTAAAGTTCTTATTTCTCTGATGTTTTTACTCATCTTTTTTTCTGTTTGCTGTGAATATCTCTGTGTTTMTTGTAGCATTGTTTATCTTCATTTTATGCTTCGATAATTGGTTTAAATTGTGWAGAGCTTTGGTCAGCTGCTGTTGTTTTAAATGTGCTATACAAATAAAATTGAAATTGACATTTATGGAAGTCACTTTATCCTTTTTATTTGTTTCATTTTTATTGTATATAAAAGATAAACTTTAAAGTTTGTTGGATTCATTATTTTGTAAGAAATTACGAATCATCTTCTTGATGGCAAGGGATGGAAATAAGGTTGCAGGAGAAGAGGCTGGCTAACTCCTTTCAGTGTATGATTATTGTATATTTGTAATCTTTCTGTTACTTTTGTAGCTATATTCAATTAAACTTATTAAGAAAAGGCGCCGAGAGCATTAGTTGTTCTGCAAGGTGTTCAGTCTAAATTTTTGACTCTGTTACTTTTGGTCACAAGTTCAAAACCATGATCTTCTTCATACAAAATGATCAAACTGTTTACCACTACCAAACATTTAAAAACTTTAATTTGTTTACAGTTTTGTCTGAGTCAGACAAAACTCAGTCTACTGTTTCTGTCCTGTCTCTTACCTGTAAGTGCTGCTGGGTGGCACCTGAGTAGAGTGAACAGGAGGCGGAGTTTGATGTGAAATGTATGCTGTGGACATAGCAATAATTTAACTACATCATATTGAGGACAGTGACTTTTTTGCAATGATGAATTGATGATTAACAAAAAGACAAAAAGAATGCTTGTGCCAGATACCCATCTACTCTGTTAACTGAGTGTATGTCCCCCACAGGTGCGGTGTGTAGCCGGAGCACCACAGAGGAAGGAAGGTCTGGGGAGGAGGCGGAGCGGCAGCGTGCCTCTCCGGCTGTGGATGTGCTGGGTGGCAACCCCCAGGCTGCACAGAATGTGGCTGGGGAGTCACCTCGGCTTGCCCCGCAGCCGGTCGCAGCTGCCCCCCGCCCAGTCCCTTCGTTCACAAACCCCTTTACCGTGCCACTGCCGGACAACAGCAACTCTTTGTTCCCCAGCATGGAGACCACCCTTCCCGGGACTCTGCCGAGAGGCGACTTCAAGAACACCATTTCACAAGAGGTCTGTGCTGAGGAGAGCGTCGCTGCAGATGCAAGATCTTTGCCAACGTCCCTCACAGAGGACTGCAGCTCCTCTGCTGAGGAGCAAAGACTTCCAGCTCGTCCTCTCACATCGCAGGTTGACGGCACAATCCAAGAGCTTCAATACGGGTCACAAACTGTTAAAGAAAAAAGCAACTCAAATAGTCAGGCTAAGCAGATTCAGCCAGCTCAAAGTGCTGGACCTGTTGTTATTACAAAGGAGAAACAGTCCATCACCTTGGAATATAAAACAGGAACAAACGTGGAGCTTTGTGGAAGAATTCCATGTGTCCACACAAGTCAGAGCAGCCATAAACCTCCACCAAGCGCTGCAGAGTCAGCAGGTCATCAACAGGACTCAAAGTCTGCACTCCCTCCTTTTCCCGCTGATAATACAGACAATAAACAAACTGACCAGTCAAAAACACAACCTAAAACTGTCAGAGAGATCTCAGACGAAGCTACGGAAACACAGAAAGCAAACTCTTCGGAATCAGTTGAGACCTTTAAGTATGTTGAGAAACAACCTCATACGGCTAAAATACCTGAGGCCTCAAAGGCTACAGAGTCTTCACACGGATTATACTCTTCTAGAAAAGAAAGCTCGGTGTCCACCTGCAGCCCCCTCAACACAGAACAAGCAGGGGCGACGCAGAGAAGCGACGCAAAGAATGAACAAACTGACACCACTGCCTCCTCATCTGACTTCAAAATGCTGCCAGGGTTCTCCTCTTCCAAGGAGAGCCCCTCGAATCCTGTTAAGGGGTCCTCTCTGCCTGACCCAAACCTGCTAGTTTCACTGCAGGCAGGAACATCTCATACCTCACATCAGGTCCCCTCAACAAAGACGTCTCTGATTGCTGAGATCATGCACTCTGGCGACGCTCAAGAAATCGTGGTTGTGCGGGAGGAAGCGCACATCAGCGGAGGATGGTCCAACATGCACCTGAATCAGAATTACCTCCTGCAGAGAGAAGACGGCAGCGTCTGCAGAGCTGCTATTGTTAACGAACTGTCGACCGGGGAGCCCAAGCTGTACGAAGGAAGTGTGCAGGCGGGCATGGAGCTCGACTCGCAGCCGGTGGAGGTGTATGAGTTCTGTGGCCTGGTGGAGGAGGTCGCTGAGGAGACAGTGTGTGTTGGCAGCAGTGTGCAGATACCTCACTCTCCRGGATACGAGGTGAACCTTTTCAACGCGTTACTGGAAAACGCAGACGAAGACTTCGAGCCGTCTATTCACACAGTTAACGAAAACGAAACCATCATAATTTCCCAGCAGTCTTTGCCTTCATCTAGTGATGATAACATGTCCATAGAAAACACAGGAGTGGCTGCAGTTGGACACCATTTAGTCTTAAACCCAAACCAAGCTATTGAAATGGCACACTCTAGAGAGGTTTGTTTAGTTCAAGTTGCTGCTGTCACATCTGACTCATTCACTGTTGAACAGACAGACACTACTACACAAACTGGGCCACATTGTTCACAAGTCAATGCAGCGCAGTCAGACTTGACAGAGGTGAGCGGTTCTGCTGCAGTCCAAACGGTTTCTCCAAAACAGAAAGCAGAAGCAACAGCTGGCTCATTAGCTCTTTTATCTCCACTGGTCGCCGGTGAGGACGCGGTGATGCAGTCGTCCACTGCTGTTTCCTTACACATTTCTACATGTGTAGAAAATCAGACCCCAGGGTTCACTGTTGTAAGTGCCATCAAGCCTGAGGTCTGTTCTAATGACGGAACCAAAGTTTCTCCTTTGACTCCATCGCAGTGTATTCAGAAAGCTGCTGTGGCCACAAAAAGAAAACCAGGAGCGCCCTGCGCCACTTATTCCCCCGGTCTTATAAATCCAAACCTGCTGCTGCTTAAACCAGGAGAAACTCCTCTCCTGAAACATCCTTCCTCCCTTTTGGCAAAGGTGTCCAGGCACCAGAATGTGGACAGCAAGCTGGCCAATGCCCACAGCTCTTTGTCTGGCACAGTGTCTGAGGAGTGCCTTCAACAAACAGTCTCAGCAGCAGACTCTCTATCTGCAGCTCCGAGCAGCCGGAAAGATCAGTGCTCCGTCGATGAAACGTCAGCTTCTGTAGAAGACCAGCAGCCTGCGTCGAGTGCACCAGTCACACCCGCAGCTTCGACGAGCAACTCCGAGGCCTTAACCTTTGTTGAAACKCCAACAAACGAGGAAAATCCCTCACCTCAAAGTCTGGAAACGCCCCCTGAAGCCACCTCGCCCGCTGGTCCTGACGCCCTTCGCACTCTCCCTGCATCAGAGGAGAAGGAAGAAGAAGAAGCTGTGACTTCACCCGCCAATCCCAACAATGCCAACAGTTACCCCGACGATGCAGAGGAGGAGAGCGACGACTCGGAGCAGGACGAACCGATGGGAGAAGGCGAGGTCCACGAGGYGATGTCAGGACAGGTTAGCAGTCCTGAAGAAGACAGCGATGACGATCCCGACCCTGRCAAAGACGACATGACCACTCCCAGCTCTTCACACAAGGTAGCAGTTGCAGTCATTTACACAACTAATCCATACAGGAAATGAGACAAATGGTACWTTTTTWAAAAAATATATATTTGGTGCAGTATTACATTTGGACGCACCTAACTGTGTTAGTCTGGAAACTCATTTAAAAACAATCATTCTGCAATCATGTGATCAGTGTTTTTTGTCATGTAGTGATTTATTTATTTTTAAGTTGGCCGCATGCTAAGCCATGTGTGTTTTCCAGCATGGACAGAGCAGGACAGACAGACAGGCACTGTTTCTTAAGGTAAGCAGCTGTAATCAGACACTCAGAGAAGCTCACCGTTACAGGTCATTCATGGGCACATCTTACTCCAGCACTGGACAGTTTTTTTTGTGTTGTTGTTTTGCCTTTAGCTGCTTCATTATTGCATGAGGTGAACAGTCTTAACAGAAAAACACTGGGCAGTGTGTAATTTTGAACAATTSTCACTTTTATTTTTTCAAATTTGTTGCACTTTTAATCTTCTGCTCTAACAATATTCACACATGCAACATTGTGCTTACAAAATCACTTGGCGGGRGAAAAATAGTTTCCCTAATTGTTCTGTTTCCACTCTCAGGTGCGCCAGTGGATCTCTGATCGAGTCACAGTCAATTCCTCTCCCGCCTCGCCCTCCACCTCCTCGTCCACCTCTGACTGGACAACTCGTCGACGGGACAAAGTCTCGCCCCTCAGAGGTCCACACGGCAAGTTTGTTTCTCCTTCCGCTCTGAGTTCCTCGTCCCCACCAGACCAGGGCTCGTCTCACCGGTCTCGTGGTGAACGTCACACAGACATGGCAGAGCTGGCGAAACATGTAAGTGTGCCTCAACATGTAATGATGTTGACAAACTGTTCACTCACAGCGTGACCACACAACTTCCTGGTCACTTGGTCATAAACACTCTGAACTCATTAAAGGGATCCACGATTAGTTGTAACATTAGACTTTATTTGATAAACACATATTTTAACTGTAAAATAAAAACTGTAAAAATACTGTAGGCTGTTTAGTTTTGTAAATTTTTGGAAATATATTTTAACATGGACGGAGCCATTTTATTTACACACAGCATTCTGGGTAAATGATGACGTAGAAAAGTCCTCGGTGTGAGCGAGCTATATCCACCCTGAAGGTTAATCTTGGACAATATCTGACGATTGGCTCTTTTAAATGAAACCAGAGAGCGTTGACAGAGAGGAGAAGGTAGAAATGACTCAGCCTGTAACTGAAAATACGGACGGAGGACAACAGTTTAGCTTGTTAGTTTGCCATGCTAGTGTTGAGCTAATACTTATAAGGCAAAATAGTGTTGGCGCTAAAGCTAACAGGCTAAGCTGAGGTTCTTCTTCCATGAAGCAGCTCTGTTGTCCTCCATCCATATTTTCAGTTACAGGCTGAGTCATTTCTACCTTCTCCTCTCTGTCAACGCTCTCTGGTTTCATTTAAAAGAGTCGATCATCAGATATTGTCCAAGATTAACCTTCAGGGTGGATATAGCTTGCTCACACCGAGGACCTATCCATGTCATCATTTACCCAGAATGCTTTGCATATAAATAAAATAGCCCCATCAGTGTAATTTTTTTTAAAATTTAGTTTAAAATGATAAAAACTAAACAGCCTACAGTATTTTTACAGTCTTTATTTTACAGTTAAAATAAATGTTTATCAAATAAAGTCTAATGTTACAACTAATCGTGGATCACTTTAAGACTGCAGCTGATAAATTCCCTGTTTCCTCAATGTTTTTGCAATTTCAAGTCACCATCTTGTCTCTACTGATCACAGTGAGATGTCACCCTTACTGGATAATTTCATAGACTTCGTTGACCGACTGGTTTGTTCTTGTGTCCTGTAGGAAGCAGAGATCGAGCATCGAACCCATGCTCTGAAGCGAGATGGTTTCTGGTCAATGAAGCGTCTCACTCGTCTAACGGAGCCGCCGCGGCCCAAAGTTCACTGGGATTACCTGTGTGAGGAGATGCAGTGGCTCTCTGCTGATTTTGCTCAAGAAAGACGGTGGAAGAGAGGAGTGGCCAGGAAGGTAACGTTTATTACCGATCTCTGATTTGTTGAGTCTCTGAAGGATCAGGACCAGCGTTGTATTGTTGTAAATAGTCAAGACGTCTTCTGTTGATGTATTATCAGGTGGTTCGTATGGTGATGCGGCACCATGACGACCTGAGGCAAAAAGAAGAAAAAGCCAAACGAGACGAGCACGCCAAAATCAGACGAGTTGCCTCTTCGATTGCGAAGGAAGTCCGGGCGTTCTGGAGCAACGTTGAGAAGGTAGACCTCTTGGCTCAGCTTTTAGCTTAAAAYGCTGTTATAAAATAAATAGTGGCAACCTTGCATAAAAAAATAACAATTTGATTCATGTTCATATATTTTACCACATTATCTCATTTTTATTGTGAGACTTGAAATTTTCCCACGTTTTCCTCACTCCTCTTTCTCTACAGTTGTCAACACACTTTTATTTCAAAATGYTAGTTTTAGGTTTATTTATGACTTTATTGAATTTACCAAGTGAAAGGTGCCTGTTTTTCAAAGAAGTGCTGTCCTGTTTTCTGTGTGAAGGTGGTGCAGTTCAAGCAGCAGTCCAGACTGGAGGAAAAGAGGAAGAAGGCTTTGGACCTTCAGCTCGACTTCATCGTGGGCCAAACCGAAAAGTACTCAGACCTCCTCAGCAAGTCACTAGCACCCGTCAAGCCTCTTGAGACCGCCRCTTCTCCCCAAAGAACTCTTCCCCCTCCCGTCGACGAAGAAGGTAAAACGTTTTTCCTTTAAGCGTCGTCTCTTTATAGTCCTTTCTGTCAACTTGTTACGAGAGCTTTCAGACCCGATTCAGTGGGTCAGACAGAAATGCTGTCATAGCAACGCACCAGCGACTGAAAGTCCCTAAGCACACGCAGAGGTAGACTGCTTYATAGAAACAAAAAGCTGTTCATCCCTGTCGAGGTCACTGCTCCTATGATTTATGTTCTTGAAGTTGTRTGAAATTTTCCCCGACTAGCTGAGAGCAGATCTTTTATTTAAAAACGAGTCCAAGAATTACAGAGCAGAGAGAAGTAATGTGTGCAGAGCTCTGAGCCTAATGCTGCGTGGCGCCCATCAGGTTGGAGAGTCGTCAAACCTGTGAGACGAGTCTGCTGCGCATGTCAGCTGTGACATTTGATTTCAAACGTGTGGAGGCGAGCGCTGAATCGAGTTCATTTTCCTATTTTCCTCCTTAGAAAAAATTTTTGTCTTTTTTTTTTTAATAATGAGGGTTAAAAAACATCTCTTTCTGCAGACCGAGACTTTGAGCCTCCTTGTGAGGAGGAGGATGATGAAGAGACCATAGAGGTTGAGGAGCAGCAGGAGGGCAATGATGCAGAGAGTCATCAGAGAGAGATTGAGCTGCTGAAGGAAGAGGGCCTGCTGCCTCTGGACCAGCTGCTCAGCACGCTCAAACTGCCACCTCCAGAGGTACCACCACTCCGTCAAATTAGTCACAAAMAAGACCGATTTTAAATATCCAGCTTTTAATCCTCAACTCTTTACTTTAGAACACATGTTTATTACACGTTTATTACACAGGATGGTGCTTCAGTTGTTGTGGTTGGTTTAAATGCTGTAACTGACTGCAGATGTTTGCATGTTTCTGTACTCGCTGTTTGAAATGTAGGACTCTGGCTCCGAGGAGGAATGCTCAAATGAATCATCTTCATCAGAGGAAGAGGAGGAGGAAGACAGAGAATTCACRGCCAATGAAGAAGATGGTAAGAATAACTCAAGATGTTTAAAAGGTTTTACACTTCGACATTTAATCATTTTACAGTTATATTTTGTAATCTCTGAAATAAAATAGTTCCCTGCTCTTATTTTCTGTTTATTTATTTATTTCACTTCAGCTGAGGATGAGGAGGACACCATTGCAGCTCAGGAGAAGGTTGAAGGGAATGTCAATCATGCTGAGGAACTGGATGATTTGGCCAAAGAAGGTAAGCGTCGTGTCTTGTCCTTTCTTTTCTTTTCTTTTCTTTATACTTTTTTTTTTCACATTTCTGCTCATCTTTCAGGCGATATGAGTCTCGAAGATCTCCTGGAGAAGTACAAAGGAGCGTATGCGTCAGACTTCGAGGATCCTTCTGCTTCTGGCTCCAAAGTGAGCTCTGAATCRGAGGTGTCTGGGGATGAAGAGGTGGAGAACGAAGAAGATGAGAGCGACGTGGAAAGCAACACTTCTTCCTCAGGTACCAACGCGCCGAGAATCAAAAATCATCTCATTCGAGTCGATCTGTTTTCTTTAAAGACAAAGATGTGGGAACTTTGGGGTCACATGTTCGAACTCTTAAGTTTCTGCAGGAGACAGCGCAGAGGATGAAGAGACTGAGATTGATGAAGATGATGATGATGAGTGTGGAGACGAAGGGATGGAGCTTCTGCTGAAAGAGGGAGACCACAGCCCTCCTTCCTCCGGCTCACGGCCAAAGAAAGAGATCAGCCATATTGCTGCGACAGCAGAGAGTCTGCAGCCTAAAGGCTACACTCTGGCTACGACCAAGGTCGGGTTTAAACGTTAAGAACATCTTTTTATGTCTTTTAATTGTATYGTTTTAAATTTCTTGTTCTTTTCCCAACAAAAGGTAAAGACACCCATCCCGTTCCTGCTTCACGGCACGTTACGAGAATAYCAGCACATCGGGCTGGACTGGCTGGTCACCATGTACGAGAAAAAACTGAACGGGATCCTCGCGGATGAGATGGGTCTGGGTAAAACCATCCAGACTATCGCTCTGTTAGCTCACCTGGCTTGTGAGAAAGGTAACAGACGTGAAGTGATTTTTCTACTGACAAYTCTAAGATTCACGTTAAGATTCTGATCTGCCTTTTGTATTTTTTTGTAGGGAACTGGGGTCCTCATCTCATCATTGTTCCCACCAGCGTGATGCTAAACTGGGAGATGGAGCTGAAGCGCTGGTGTCCAGGGTTTAAAATCCTCACCTACTTTGGCAGTCAGAAGGAGAGAAAATTAAAGAGACAGGTAAAAATACATTTATCTTCTGACACTAGTTTAGCTAAATTAAATTAAACTAAATTAATGTGATAAAAGTGAAAATTTCTAAGGAGAAACGGATTTTATTTTTTTATGGTTTTCTACAATAGATGAGAAACAAAAAAATGAAGTCCAGTCGGTTTTCCCCCTCTCCCATTTCTTCTCTCAGGGTTGGACGAAACCTAATGCTTTCCACGTGTGCATCACATCGTACAAGCTGGTTCTGCAGGATCACCAGGCCTTCAGACGGAAGTCGTGGCGTTATCTGATCCTCGACGAGGCTCAGAACATCAAAAACTTCAAGTCCCAGCGCTGGCAGAGCCTGCTGAACTTTAACAGGTCTGTAGAACCTCAACAGACTCACGCAAAGTGGGAGTGACACGTTTTTATGTAAAAAAAAGTTTAGGATGAGTCTAGAAACTAAAACGGCTCCAGCTGTTAATCTTTTTTTCACTTGAAAAAAATCCTCCAGAGATTTAAACGGTTTAAGTTTTTTTCTTTAATGAAATAAGCTTTTGTCAGCTAATCTKCAGAACTGAAACTGTTTGTTCTTTCCAGAACGGCTGAAATAGTCATTTGGCTGGAGRTTTAGCTCCAGCTGGTGGTAGTTTCTCACTCAGACAGGGCTCTGTGCACAGCAGGAGGTGCTTACAGTTTTATCATGTACAGTCGTTCACCCCAGGATCTTCTCTGCAGATCTACAGGAAGCAGATGGAGAGGAAAAGTGAGCACCTGTGTGAACATCAGACACAACTTTAATGAAAAATCAAAGCCATTATTCTGTTTGCTAAGGTGGATTATCYGCAGCAGCCATCTTGACTCAAAACTTTAAAAGTTTATCAGTTAGAGCTGTGTGATAAACACAGCAGGCAGTAACTAATGATGAGGAGGAAACTTGTTCAGAAGATATAAGGTCTCTGGAGTTGGAATGAGCTCGACTCATTTTCAGATTTATACTCTGAGGTGATGTGTCTCTTTCTGGTGACTGTTCAGAGTCCGAGCTGCAGAAATCTGGACCATCTGCAGACAAAAGGACAGAAACAGGCTGACGCTGAAATGATAAAAGCTGCACCGATCCAGTCTTGAAGTGATTAAAAAATGAGATTTTTCTCTCAGCAGTAGAACAGAACTAGAAAATTAAAAATGTGACTTTAATAGTTTATATTTATAGAAATGTTTCCAAATAAATTTGCCCAAATCGTATTAAATAGGAAGTAATCGGCAACAGTTGTTAAATACTAAAAAAAAAACATTTTACCATCTACCCCTCACAGCCACCGGCGCCTGCTGCTGACAGGAACTCCTCTGCAGAACAGCCTGATGGAGCTCTGGTCCCTCATGCACTTCCTCATGCCCCACGTCTTCCAGTCCCACCGCGAGTTCAAGGAGTGGTTCTCCAACCCGCTCACGGGGATGATCGAGGGCAGCCAGGAGTACAACGAGGGCCTGGTCAAGAGGCTCCACAAGGTGCTGAGGCCCTTCCTGCTCAGGAGGATCAAGGTCGACGTGGAGAAGCAGATGCCCAAGAAGTACGAGCACGTGGTGCGCTGCCGCCTCTCCAAGAGGCAGAGGTTCCTCTACGACGACTTCATGGCACAAGCCTCGTGAGTAGAGAAATTACAGCTCAATGATACAATAAACAATGTATTTTTTATATAATTCAACATACGGCTGCAACAGTTAGTCAACATAATGAAAATTAGTTGACGCAGCATTTTAATGTTGGCGTGTCAAATTATTTACCCATGTAAATATTAATTTGTAATTGCAATTCATGAACTGCTGGAGCAGGAGGTGTGCCCACAGGAAGCATAGATTAATCATTTACCAATTTACACTTTGAAGAAATAATCACAGATTAGTCGACTATCAAAATAGTCATTAGTTGCAGCCCTAATTCAATGATTGTATCATTTAATATATAGTGTTGAAGTTTAGGGAAAAGCATGCAAATTACAAAAACTATTTTTGATTTACAAAAAAAGCTGTAAGAATTATTCATTTTAAACTTTATGATTATTTAGTAATTATTCTATCAGTTGAAATTATTGATGTTTTTATGATTTGGTTGATCATGGTATTTTACTAGTTATAATATTACCTGTAAATATTCAGATAAAATTTAATAAGAGTCTATAAAATGYTAAGGGAAAAGAGATCTTTAAAAATCCTCCATTTGGGATGTGTTTTAAAAGAACGATGTACTTCAGTTCAAAGATAAGTTTATGGAATAGTCCTGATGATGATATTAAAATTTCCAAAATGATTTATAGGTTTAAAAGGATGAGAGTTAATTTAATGAAAAAAAAAAAAAAAAACGATACTAAGTAGTATGAATCAAATTAAACTGTAGTTCAAACAACATGGGAAGGACCTGGTGCTGTTTTTTATTTTTATTTTTAGTTTTAATCATTGTTTAAATTAAGTTTTGTTTAAAAAAGGGGTGGGGGGCAGGCTTTTTCATATAATTTTTAACTTTTTTATGAATATAGGTTTTTCTTTTGTTTTAATGAATGAATAAACAAATAATAAAAAAAACTATTTTTAATTAAGGGCTCATTTTCTGTCTGGTTCACAGAACTCGGGAAACACTGGCCAGTGGTCACTTCATGTCTGTGATTAACATCCTCATGCAGCTCCGTAAAGTGTGCAACCACCCCAACCTGTTTGACCCACGGCCCATCCAGTCCCCCTTCATCACGCAGCGCATCGTCTTCCACACGGCCTCTCTGGCGCAGGAGGCTCTGGAGGTCCCTCCTCTGAAGGTGAGCCGAAAGAAAACCGAAGCTTCAGTTTCATCATGAAATCATTCCTGACAAAGGTTTGTTTTTGTTTTCTGTCAGCGTTGCGACCTTTCCATGTTCGACCTCGTCGGTTTGGAGAGCCGTGTGTCTCGTTACCAGGCAGACGTGTTCCTGCCGCGTCACAAGGTCAGTCGCCAGCTGATCCAGGAGATTATGGAGTCCCCAGAACCCCCTCCAAGACCCAAACCGATCCGCATGAAGGTCAACAGGTACGAGCTGCAGCTAATATAACTTAGAACTTTTTAAAGCTTTTTATTTTCTCTCTGCTGGGAAATAAGTCATCAGTTTAAACATAGGATTTTGAATACCTGGACTTGTTTATGAATTTTATTTTGTTTATTTTTTAAAGTCTTTTAGGTCAGTGGTCCCCAAAGTTGGGGTTGGGACCCACAATGGGGTCCTGAAACATCAATGTGGGGTCCTGAAAATATTTTCTGAATCAATTACACTAAAAAAATGACAGCATGTTTTGCCTTTGTTGTTACAAAATAATAAGATTAGTGTACTTAAAATTAACAAAAAAATAATGTAATAAATAAAACTATGCCCTTGTTTATTTGACGTGAAAACAATGTTTATCAACCGACAACAGCTGGGGGCTCAGATCTCTGCTGCTTTTATTTTGTAGGTCAAAAGTTGAAAAGTTTGGGAACCACTGATTTAGGTTATTAAGAGTAAAACTTCACTGAGTGTGATTTTAGTTTTTTAAAACAAACGTTTTCTCTTCAGGATGTTCCAGCCGCCTCCCAAAGGTGACAATCGGTCCGTTCTGCTAATGAACAAACCCACCTGCTCAGTTCCTCCTGCAGCTCAGACCCCCAAACCTCCTCCAGTCACTGAGGTCACCACACCTCCTCCTACTCCTCCTGCTCCTGCAGTTCAGCAAGGCAAGTGGAGGAAAATAAAACTATATAAACAAAAAGTGTTGAAGATTTTAGGAGGGGAAAGACTTGAATGTATAAACCTGTATAATTAAAACAATTCTTTGTCTTATTTGTAGTTGTGTGTTCGGTGGCCCCCACACCACCACCTCGCCCCCCGATCAATCCCACTCCTCAGACTGCAGTGAGATCCAGCACTCCGAAACCAGTTCTGACTGTACGACCCCCTATCGCTCCTGTTGCAGCCAGTGTTCCAGTTCACCAGAGTCCACACCCCAGCACCATCATGCCCCAGAGGGTTTTACTTAGTCCCGACATGCAAGCAAGGCTGCCTTGTCAGTAGATTCGTTAAAGTAAAGGGTTTGAAGAAGACTGGCCTGGCATGAGTTTTCTAACCATCGTCTTCCTTCCTCAGCTGGTGAGGTGGTGAGCATCGCCCAGCTGGCTTCTTTGGCGGGCCGGCCGGTGTCGTCCTGTCAGGGCAGCAAACCCGTCACCTTCCAGCTTCAAGGGAACAAACTCACTCTGTCCGGAGCTCAGATCCACCAAGTCCCAGCTGCGGCGCCACGTCCAGTACAAGGTTGGTCACCCTGTGGTTCCTAAAGTTTGGGTCTGGAGCCCAATCTGGGTCATGAAACTTGAAGTAGAGTTCTTAAATTGTTTTTACACTACATTTAGTTAAGTTTCACTCAGATAYTTCAAGTTTATTTCACTGAATTATAAACCTGAACAGAAAGACATTTTGATCAGATTCCCTCTTTTGCCTTGCAGGTAATGTGATGCACCTGGTTTCCGGTGGCATCCAGCATCACCTCATCAGCCAGCCGGCCCAGTTGAGTGTTCAGACAACAACCAGCACACCTGCTGCTGCTCCCTTTGCAAACAAGCTGCCGCTCAGTTCCTCACCTCAAGGTATTTTACAGGTTACTGGTTTCTTTACATTACCTTTCTCAGCAGAGCTCAGCATCAGAATCAGACAGATTTTCTGATTGGTTTTCCTGTTTAATTTCAGTCCCCTCGCCCATGGTGAACAGCCCCGGGGTGGTGAAGATCGTCGTGCGTCAGTCAACAGGCAAGGAGGGTGGGCCTGTGCCCACGCTGGCTGTGGCTCCTTCCCCGCGCGTTGCTCCCCAGGCGCCATCCCCCTCCCTGCATCCCCACGCCAACACTACCCCTATGAGGAGCACAGCTCCCATACAGATCGCCCCACGCACCCCCGGTCCTGCTACTGCCCACTACACCATAGCTCCTGTGAGACACCCGAGCTCAACCCCAAACCAGCCCCAGACCCCGCATCCTGTCCTCAAAGTAGTTCAGCAGCCTCCACCCAGCACCGAGCAGCCAGGTGAGAGTGCACGCTTCAGCTGACAGCAGGTCTGCAAGCAGAGCTCCAGAAAATCACCTTCTAGAAAGAAAAACACTGTTCCAGGTTTTTAAAATCTGAAGAGATGTCTGTTGAGTTTTATATTACACCAAAACAAAATAGTTTGTGCAAAGCTGTCTGTGCTGTGCTGTCTTATTTCCAGCTCAGGCAACTTCCTCGCCGTCTGTGTCCAAATCTTCAGTGGCACCACGGGACAGCAGCAGCACTCAAACACCCGTTTCCACAAAGTCAAAGCCCAGTGTTCGTCCAAAACCCAACCCTCCAGCCAGGAGACTCCCTCGTCCACCTTCACGCTCTCCTTTCCACTTGGTAAGTCTGCTCATATTTACAAGCCTCAACTTAAAGCTTCAAATCTAAAAATACAACCGTGACAAGTTGAACCAAATGGGTTTTGAAGTCACTTGCTGCACGTTATAATTTCCTGGTAGAAAAAAAAGACTTGACTTCCTGACTTTGAAGCATCTTTATAGTTTGTGCTCAGGTGAAAACCAGGTGTTGATTGTTTAGACAGACTTCTGTAGCTGCAACGATGCTGGCTTAAATATAATTCATACATCTGTCTTCAGTTTTTAATCTCAAACATTATCTTTGCTGTTTGACCAATCGGTCTTCCAGCCTTTCACTTCTCATTCCTCTGCATTAACAGTCATGGCTGGCCGACAGCGTCAGAGATCAGAGAAACAGCCGACTGGACCTCATCTTTGGAGTCAACGAGCGTCGCTGTGGGGCAAAGCCCGCCTACGGCAGAGAGGTTCTGGACTTCCTGACTTTCCTCCCTGGTCCTCATCCATCTCCAGCAGCTCTGAAGGCTGAGGGAGAGTGGGGTCGCTCGGGCCACAGCAGCTGTTTGTATGCTCAGCGGCAAAACAAGGATAACTTCTGGGTCCAGAGTCCTACTTTAAGAGAGGCTATCAGCAGCATTGAGGAACGTCTGGAGCTCCTCAATGAAATAATAGAGCGGTAAATAATCTTCTTGCTGACACACAAGACCATAACTAAGACTAAAGGTTTGTAAGCTGACTAATTGTTGTGTTTTTTAGGTTTGTGTTTGCGATTCCTCCAGTGGAGGCTCCTCCCATCTCCATGCACTGTTGCCACCCGCCTCCGTCTCTGAGTCACAAACAGGCCGTCTTCTCCTCCACACTGTCGGCTCAAGTGGCTCCGCTCACTCGCAGCCTCCATCACATCCAGTGCAACATGAGGACTCAGTTCCCCGACCTGAGGCTCATACAATATGACTGTGGTGAGTCGGGGCGGATTTTGATTTCTGCGTGTTCACCAAGAGAAGAGGAGAAGCTGCTCTGCTTCATTATTCTCCTGTTTGCAGGTAAACTTCAGACTCTCCACACTTTACTGCGGAAGCTGAAGTCTGGAGGCCACAGAGTCCTGATCTTCACTCAGATGACGCGCATGTTGGACGTGCTGGAGCAGTTCCTGAACTACCACGGGCACATCTACCTCCGACTGGATGGCAGCACCCGTGTGGAGCAGAGACAGGTCTGAACAGTTAATTCACACGTGACGAAAAAGATAAAACAGACGTGTGTGTCCAGCCCTGGTGCTTAATGTCCACCTTCACCCACAGGCCCTCATGGAGCGCTTCAACGCAGATCGACGCATCTTCTGCTTCATTCTATCAACCCGCAGCGGGGGTGTGGGGGTGAACCTGACGGGGGCCGACACGGTCGTCTTCTACGACAGTGACTGGAATCCCACCATGGATGCACAGGCCCAGGACCGCTGCCACCGCATCGGCCAGACCCGAGACGTCCACATCTACAGGTGACTCATTTAATGACTGAATCACTCAAATCTGAATATATAATTTCACGTTCATCCAGTTTATTTGGATTAAAATCAGTAAAAGTGTTGTTGCAGAGGCGTTTTACAGAAATTAGACAAATCAAGAAGTTATTTTCTTTTTAATGGCTGCAGTTCTACATATTTGCTGATAACTTTCTGTCTAGTTTTTCTGCACAGAAAGTGTTAAAGATCAGATTTGTCTGGAAAAAATATACAAAAGCCAGCAGCTGATGGAAAATATGCTGGAAAAATAAAAACTGCTCATGTTTCTGTGCTTTAGAAAAGGAAGCTCCAGATATGTTGGAAACAATGAGTCAAGAGACATGGTTGAGTGATGATTTATTTTTTTCCTACATTTAGGTTAATCAGCGAGCGCACAGTGGAGGAAAACATTCTGAAGAAAGCCAACCAGAAAAGGATGCTGGGAGATATGGCGATCGAAGGCGGGAACTTCACCACAGCTTTCTTCAAGGAGGTATCGTTTTTCCCACTCACTCAGTCAGAATAAAATGAATCACTGGGTTTAATTAAATAAACGTGTGGGTGAGAGCTTGTTGATGCACCATCCACTGCAGATCCTGTTGAACCTGACCTGTTTTGTTGCTGAGGGTACCAAAAGAGCAACCTTTTACTGAGAATTAGCGTGGATAGTCATAATTTTACGTAATGATCTAATAAACTGTCTTTTAGCAAACGATCCGAGAGCTGTTTGACGTCAACGACGGGGAGAAGCGGGAGGTGGCGGTGGAGCTGTCTGTGCCTCCGGCTGAAGATGAAGAAGGTGTCAACAAGCAGAGCACCACCATTCTGGAGCAGGTTAGAAACGGATATTTTATCTTATTTTAGCTTTTTCCTCAACATGTCAAACATGACCCGAGAACCGAATCAACCCTGAAATGTTTCAGGCTCTGTGTCGAGCTGAGGATGAGGAGGACATCGTGGCAGCCTCTCAGGCCAAAGCAGAGCAGGTGGCGGAGCTGGCAGAGTTTAACGAGAACATCCCGCTGGATGACGGAGGGGAGCAGGAGGAGGTGGAGGAGCTCTCCAAGGCTGAGCAGGAAATAGCTGCTCTGGTGGAACAGGTGAGTAAAATGCAGGTGTATAAAAATAACTTGTGATGCTCAAAGTAAACACGCTTTTCTCTCATCTTTAGCTCACTCCCATCGAACGCTACGCCATGAACTTCCTGGAAGCCTCTTTAGAAGACGTCTGCAAAGAGGAGCTGAAGCAGGCTGAGGTAAGTTCTCACCTTTTATCAAAATATAAAAACAAAAGTATTTTAAACCTGTGAATCAAATATATATTTTATTGTTTTATGTTTTAGGAGCAGGTGGAAGCTGCCAGAAAAGGTCTGGACCAGGCCAAGGAGGAGGGGCTCATGCTCCACCCCGCCTCCGACGAAGACGACGACGACTTCCTGTCGACGCCGGCTTCCTCTGAACCCACTCAGCCAGCTCCTGCCCGGCGTGGACGCAAACCCAAGGACAAGACGCTCACCTCCACGAGGACCAGCGGTCGACTCCGTGGAGCGTCGCCGGAACCCGAGCCCGAGCCAAGAGAAGTTCCCGAGAGACTCCGGCGAGGACGAGGAGCCGCCAAAGACGCCGCCGCATCTCCAGCCACGTCCCGAACAGATCTGAAAAATCTAAACAGACCTCAGGAAACCTCCACAACTTTAAAGGCCTCGTCTCCCATCAGAGACCAGACCACGAAGACCAGGACTCAACCGACCCGCTCCCATCCCGGCCCCTCGCCTTCATCTCCGACGAGCTGCCCTCCTGCAGGGAAACAGCCAGGCGAGGAGGAGACAGAGAGGAGGATGTCCGAGTCCTCGTTAGACTCCAGCTGTGCAGCGGACCATCTGAACAGAGATGAGGACAGTAAAGACCACAGCCCCATGTCCCCCACCTCCACTTCCCGCTCACCTCGCAAACGCCAGTCAGCTGACGACGAGGTGCTGCGGGGCCTGACCGACGACTCCCCGTCCGCCAAAGTCCTGCGGAAACTTCCAGGGAGGCTGGTCACCGTGGTGGAGGAGAAGGAGCCACGGAGAAGGAGACTGAGAGGAAGTGGATGTTCCTCCGAGGAGGCGACACCTGAGGAGAACGCTGCTGAAGCTACAGACGAGCCAAACAGAGACCCCTTTACGCTAACTCCAGACGAAAAGACTAAAGTCACCCCCGAGGACCAGGACTCTACCCCGAGTTCATCCATGCACCTGCATCCGGTCCGAGGCTACCCTCCTTACTCCCCTCCACACCTCTCCCCCGACATGCCCGTCCTCAGGAACCTTCCTGTGCGCCGCAGGCTGGAAACTGAGTCTCGTCTGGCCGCTCAGCTCGGGGAGCAGCAGCTCCTGGGTCGAGGGAGAGGAGCGACTCAACCCAAGAAAACTGAACCGATGCCAGGCAAAGACGCCACTGCAGCTTCCACAGAGTCCAGCGTTAATTCTCCTCCTGTGCCTATAAAAAGGAAAAGGGGCCGGCCCCCTAAAATTGTTACTTTGGCAATGGAGCCTGTTAGTAGAATGACTCTGCCCACCTCACAGAGAGAGGATGGGACACTCCCTCAATCACCGAAACGTAAGAGGGGTCGTCCCCGCAAGGACTCGACAGTTACAGCCGATACTTCTGGAGAAGTACAGAGTTCTGGTACAAACGCAGCACAAACAGTCCCACCAGAGACCCCAACAGGTCCGGACTCCCAGCCCACCAGAGCTGAGCAAACACCAGCTCAGACCTCTGTGACAAACGCAGATCAACCTTATCCTGTTCCTCCCTCAGCAGCAGCAGCATCCATCCATGTTAGTTCTGGTCCAGATCCGAGCCTGAACCCGCCTCCTGCCCCTCAGTCCACATCTGCCACAGCTCCACCCGTCTCATCAACGTCTGAGCCCCAAACATCCACAGCTGCTGCAGAGCCGAACTCCTCCGCTTCCACAACTGTGAGACCAACAGAACCGGACTCTGACAGACCCACAACAGCTGCCGTGTCGCCCCCCTCAGCAGCAACCGCCACTACAACAGAAAGTTTCACCACTACAGAAGAATCAGAAGCTCCTGCTGCACCAGCTTCAACTTCCACTCCACCTGCCGGCCAGGAGGACGCAGCCTCAACCAGCCCGACTCTGAGTCCAGAACAAAACCCAGCAAACATCACAACTCCAGTAAAAACAGCCCAGACAAGTCCATCAAACCCCAACCAAGCTTCTGCTGCACCTCCTGCTCAAATCACAGCCCTGATCCAGTCGGTCTCAGCAGAACCACAAGCTCAGGTACCACCAGAGTCTGAAAGGTCTCCAGAAGAACCTGCTGCTCCACCCAGTCCAACCACATCAGCCCCAACACAGGAAGTCAGCCTAACTTCATCTACACCCGTCATGGCTGCAGAGACGACCAGTGAGACCCCAATGTTAGGAGCAACTTCTACAGAACCTCCTTCAGAGGCTACAACTTCTACAGAACCTCCTTCAGAGGCTACAACTTCTACTGAACCTCCTTCAGAGGCTACAACCTCTAAAGAGCCTCCTTCAGAGGCTACAACCTCTAAAGAGCTTTCTTCGGAGGCTACAACCTCTAAAGAACCTCCTTCGGAGGCTACAATTTCTACAGAGCCTCCTTCGGAGGCTACAATTTCTACAGAGCCTCCTTCGGAGGCTACAATTTCTACAGAGCCTCCTTCGGAGGCTACAACTTCTAAAGAACCTCCTTCAGAGGCTACATTTTCTTCAGAAGCTCCTTCGGAGGCTACACTTTCTACAGAAGCTCCTTCAGAGGCTATAACCTCAACAGAACCTCCAGAGGCTACGCTTTCTACAGAGCCTCCTTCAGAGGCTGCAACTTCTAAAGAACATCCTTTGGAGACTACACTTTCTTCAGAACCTCCTTCAGAGGCTACAACTTCAAAAGAACCTCCTTCAGACACTACAACTTCTTCAAAACCTCCTTCAATGGCTACAACTTCTACCAAACATCCTTTAGCAACTAAATCTACATCAACCCCAAAGGAACCACTTCCACCTGCTACTCAAACCTCGACAGACTCCACACAGGAACAGAACTCTGCATCCACTGGTGTTTGTGAAGGAACCACAGAACCAGGTCACACTGAGGCTCCACCAAAGACCGCCACACCTGCAGGTTCATCAGAGAAAAAACATTTAGCGCAGAAAGGCGACACTGATGCAGAAATGGAAGTAGACTCTGTGGAAAATTCCAACAAGGAGAAAGAGAAGCAAGAAGTGGTGAAGTCGCAGCCTAAAAGGAGGAAAGTTGAGAGTTCCTCTGAGACGAAAGAGTCTGGCAAGGACAAAGGAGGAGAAAGAAAACCCGCTCAGCAGAAAGAGAAAGCCACTGAAGATCAGAAAGCTCCGAGTCAGAAGAGATCCCTCAGCCGGCAGAGCAGTCAGGAGTCGGTGCGCTCCTCTTCGCCGTCATCTGGGAGCTCCTCATCGACCCTCACACGGCACGCTCACCATAAAAGGACTTACGAGAACCGAAATCCTGCCAAGAGGCGGCGGACTGAGGTCACTTCTGGGGGAACGGAGGAGCAGGAGCAGCAGGAGAAGAAAAAGGAGGCTGCAGAGAAGGAAACTGACGTTTCATCTCGCAGGAGGAGTTCGAGGTCCTCCTCTTCCTCGTCTGACTCTGACCGCAGCGAGAGCAGGAAGCGGCTGACGCGCTCCGCCCAGCGCCGCCTGCAGGACCAGGAGAAGGAACAGAGCAACAAGGACAGGAAGGGAGTGAAAGCAGCACATGGTTCAGACAAGAACCCCTCAAACAACTCCAACATGTCCACGGGGGGAGAGTCGGGCAGCGACACGTCTTCAGTTCGGCTCACGAGGAAGTCTGCAGGGCCTCAGCCCCCGCAGGACCCCAAACCTCCGGTGAACAGCACCCCAGCTCTGCCTCCTGAGCCTGAGGTTCTGGGGAAACGGTGCTCCGCTCTGAACGCAGCGGCCAAGCTCCTAGCCATGAAAGGCAGGGTGGACACTCCGGGACACACGCCTCGGAAAGACTCTGGAGCCAAGTCTGGATCTGACAAGAACCAAAAACCTAAAAGTGTCCCCGCCTCTCCTCAGAGCAACTCTGTCAATCCAAGTAACAATAAGAATAAGAGCAGCAAACCGTCTCCACAAGATCAGACGAGCCGCTCCGCACCTCGCTCCACCAGGCAGTGCCCCGGCGCCCTGGTTCCTCCACTGGAGGAGTACAAGAGGCCCAAACCGGAGGACAAGGACGGCGGCGGCAAGAAGACTTCGAGAGGGAAGGAGGGCGAGGCAGAAACGCGGTCTTCGTCGCGGGGCCACAGTGCCTGCAGCAGCATGAGCAGCGACGGCGAGGGCGACTGTGGCGGGCGCAGCAGCCGGAGCCGCAGCAGCAGCAACAGCAGCCAGCGAACCCGCAGCATCAGCTCCCAGAACACGGAGCGCCGCGATTCCCACACAGCCTCCTCCGGCAGCGAACGGGACCGCAGCTCCGAGCGGGCCAAGGGCGGCGACTGCAGCCAGAACCGAAAGGACGGCAGGAGGTCCCTGAAGCTCCCGCAGGAGGTGACCAGCAGCTCGGGAACCGAGGGGACCCCGGACAGGGTGCTGCGAAGCGTGGCAGCGCTGGCGGCGGTTCAGGCGCGCTCCCCCGCCGCGAGCACCCGCTCCTCATCCAACCAACAACGCAACAAAACCTGATCAGTGCCAAAGATAAAAAAAAAACTAAAGCGAAGCGAGTGTGTTGCAGAGCACGATCCAAGAACACGACCTCTGCTGCAGAAGTCCCACGCGGAGCTGGTCTCACCAGCTCAGACTGCTGGCTGGAGGCTCCGAGATGACGGTAGAAACAGAGGTGGAGTTACCCGGACATTTGGCGTAAAGTACTGTAAAACGGAGACGGGACCTGACCGTTCAAACCTTCAAGTGAGCCGTGGTGTTTAAGAAGTTGTCAGCTGCCCTGACTCGTTTCCTGTAGTCAGTCGATAAGTTATGCACATTTTTATTTCTTCTTCCAGGGTTGTGGGAAGAGAACAGGTCTGTCAGCGTGCTGGAGCCCCTTTTATTTTATTTTTCTCCACATCATTTTCTGCTTATTGGATTTATTAAAAAATCCAGCCTTGCATTTCTCATTTTGCACAAAGAAGTGACCCTTTTTTTGCTTTTTTTTTTCTTGAGTACCTTTTGATGTAGTGATACGTTTGTACATCAATTAATTGGTTCTCGGTGTCTTGCAGTGTATCTCTACAGCTTGGAAAACAAAACAAAAAAGGAGTATTAATTGAACTTGAACATGGTCTTTGAGACATTAAATCTTTTCTCCAAACAAGACAGTTTAAGTCACATATTTATATTAAAAAAAAGGTCTGATAAGAGTCTGAAACACCAGACGCTGTGGTGTTGAGCTTCTCAGAATTTAAAACGCATCCTCTTCATTAGTGCTAACAAATTATTTTTGTTTTGTCACCATGTAAAAAAAAATTAAATCAAATGCTTGGATAAAATGTGAATAAAATGAGTGGTACAGCTCCAGATGATGTAAATTGTCAGTTTAATTTTGGCAGACAGAGGTGACCGTCTTATTATTTACTATTTGTCTCTTTATTGTTGCATTCCTTTTTTTGATTCCTTGTAATTCCACGTTGTTTTACTTGAGAATTACCAAGATTACAGTTAAATAAAAAGACCAAAAGTGATTTTTTTAATTGTTTTGTTGGACTTTTCAATCAGCCAGTAATCGACAAAAGAAATGACAATGACTTTATTTAAAAACAAATAAAATAAACCAGTCATGCAAATTTGAACAGTTGTAATATTACACAGTAGAAAATTCTGTTCAAGTACATTATTTTTTTTTTTTTTTTTGTTTAGCTGTGATGGTTAAGTTTTTCTTGACAGATTTGTCTCGATACACAAACACACAAACAACAAAAAAAGACCAAAGTTAAATAATAATCCTAATTCCATCCCTTCTTGACAAATTAGTGCACGACATCATGTTCCCAGCTCGTTGCAGATAAGGCACAGATTTGAAGGCTTTAACGAATTCGTCAGATATTTTGTTGTAGCAGCTTTTATAAAGTTCAAATCATAAATACAAAACTTCAGACAAATAAAATCAGGTTTGGGTTTATTATTGCAGAACTGACGGATGGGGGTTAATCCACAACATCACTAATTATTTACACATGTAGGCAGTTTGAAGCAACCAGTTAAAAAAGCATAAATCACCAGCAGTGTTAATTACAATTATATTAGTTTATTTTGCATAATTGTCTAAAAAGTTGTTCTTTGTGTCCAATTCAGCAAGAATCAGTTTTCCTGAGTACAGCACGGTCAGCACCAGTGTTWGATCTAAATACTGCTTCAAATACAACTTTTATTCAGGTAACAGTTTTTTTTTTGTTCTGGTCTTTCATAGAACAGAAACCTGCAACACCACCTCAACTGGGGGTTCGAAAAATAAAAAATGCAGGCGAGACAGAGAGTCCGTCGCTTTGAAGAAGATTAAATATGAGCGGGATGGAAAAGAACTAAATATGTACACAGATCAGGTCCACCTGTGGGTCGGTGAATTTACACAAATTTGAACGATTCTTGCCGAGGCGACTCGCACGGCTCGGTGTCACTAACTGAAAGTGCTGACAACGGCGATGACGATGATGAGGAGGAGGATGGCCAAACAGACGGCRATCCAAATCTTTTTCTGTGGAAAGAAGAAGATAAAATAAACGAGAGGAGTTTCATGGATTCAAACCCAAAATTTTATAAATATATCCTTTTGCTCCTCAGAGCTTCTGAGTTGAAACATAAAAAAAGAGATGAACTCACCTTGCGAGCACTGCTCTGATATGTGACGGCCTTCTCCACATTGTCCTTGGCTTTCTCCACGTAGTCACACGACTGCTTGATGTTTGTCTCAATCCTGTCCACCATCTCACCCTGAAGCAGGAAAAAAACAGACTTGTCAGAACTGGAAGCTTTTTTTGACGGGGCTCAAAGCAGCCCAATCGGAGGCAGATCCGTACCTGAGCCTCCACCTCCATGGCCAGGTACTGGAACATCTGGTGCAGCTCTGTGATGCTCTTCTCCAGCTTCAGGATCTCGTCGTGCCGCGACTCGATCTCGTTCAGAGCCTGCTTCGTGGCTTTAGCGTCGATCAGGATCTGAACGACACGAATTTTATCAAGTCAGTCATGGAGTTTTTCCAGCTTCGGGTCCAGTAAAGCCCCACCCCCATCTATCAGCTACTCTGAGGCTACATCCCTAAAGGCCACGCCTACTTTCTTACCCAGTCTGCCGTCCAGTTCGAGCAGTTTAGAGAGCGACAACAGAGCAAACCTGARTGACAGCTGTTCTGTCCAATCAAGACGCTTGTGATTTCTGATCTGAACCGGACTCACGTTCTGAGTGAAAACATCCGTCTGACCGCTCTCCAGCATGGCGTCCAGCTCCTCGTCCGTCACGTTGTTTCCAGCTGAAGTCAGAAACAAAAACAGATCAGAGCTAAAAAAAAAAAAAAAAAAAAAAAAAAAAAAAAAAAAAAAAAAAAAAGTAAAAATGCATCTCGTCCACTTCCTTTCAACAGAGTTTTGGACAGAGACGAGATGGAGCTTTAGACACAAAGTCTGTGTTGTGAACAACTCTCAGCTACTACCATGACAAACTTTAACTCAACATCTGTAAAAATGGCTGATATAACTAGTTTTGTGTTGGCTGACTTAACAGGTAAGCTGTAAACGCCAACCTGATCATTACTGTTCAAAAGCATCAGGTGATAAATATTTTCATTTCAAGAGGATTCCAAATTCCGTCCTCATWTTCTCTCCCTGGATGAGCCTCATTTCAACCCATCAGTCATTAATTGCTAATTCGTCTTGTTTGGCAAGTTATGAAATGTAAAAGTGAAACCAGCGTGACTCAWGAGAAACTTCAGCAGTTGCGGCTCCAACCACAAAGATGTCGTGTTTTTAATCAGCACACTTTAACACAGGAATAACTTGTAAAATGAAAGTGAGAGACAGTTTAACTGGACTGAAACCTGCAGAGAGAAGAAGTGATCAGCCACTCTGGAATCCCCCCACCACCCCCCTTCCTCAACAGAGTCCACAGACTGAGGAGTCCCAGGACTCACTGATCTTCAGCTGCCTCTGTATCCGAGCCACGTTTCGGTCTCTGTACTCGGCCTGGATGGTGTTACAGTGACCCATTAACTCCACAAACTCTCTGGACAGAACGCCGTGCTGAAAAAAACAAAAAACAAAATTATTTTTAAGTTCCATATGAAGACCTGAAGTTTCCCAAAAGACGCTGTCATTTACAAACTGACTGGAGTTCTGGATAAAATCTGAAAATRTTCCTGTATTTTACGATACAATGTYAATTTTCATATAATTTATKTAACCAGATTTAAAACCCCACTGAGATCGAGATCTCATTTTCAAGGGGGACCTRGGCAAAAACAAACAGTWCACCATAAAAGTGTTACATAAGTCACAACTGTGCTAAAATAACAAAACAATGGAAAAAGTTAATCATAAAAGGCAAGGACCGTAAGAATAAAATTTTTAAAAGCAGACACTGATTGATGTAATGTTGTTTAATGCTGAGATAATAAAAAATTAATACACTCATAAAACTAAATGGTTTAATGTGCAAATAGTTTTTAAATTAAACTTTATTCTCTCAATGAAGTGCGAACTGAAACGACAACATCCAGCAGCAAATGTTTCCTTTGAAAATAACCTTTTCAGCTAAAATACAGAAAAAAAGCAGAAGAAGCAAATCAAACTGAAAGCCAAAGGTTACTAAAGGCTATCTAAATATAGCAAAAGACAAGCTAAAAGTAGTAGGACATTAAGTGAAAATAACAGCCAGCTAAAACTAAAAGGAACAAAAAGCTAGCAAAAAAGTTAAAGTAACAAAAGGTTATCTAAATGTAGCAGTGAATAGCTAACAGCTAATAACATCAAAATACTATATTAAAACTGAAKGCAGCAAGACATTAACAAGAAATAAAGGGGTAACTACAAGCTAAAAATAGCAAAAGGTTAGCCTCAACTTAAAAGTAGCAAAGGGCTATCCAAATCTAGCAATGGCTAGCTAAAAATATCAAGACTAAAGGCAGCAAGAAGTCAACTAGTGGTAACAAAAGGCTAGCTACAAGCTAAAAATAGCAAAAGGTTAGCCACAGGTTAAAAGTAGGTAAAAGCTTGATAAAAGTAGCAAAAGGCTATCTAAATGTAGCAACCACTAGCTAAAAGCTGAAAATATCAAAATACTAAAGACAGCAAGAAGTTAATTATAGCTACAAGCTAAAAATAGCAAAAGGTTAACCACAAGTTTAAAGTAGCCAAAGGCTATCTAAATGTAGCAAAAGTTCTGCTAAAAGTAGCAAAACAACTAAAAATAAACAAATATCTAGCTAAAACTAAAGTAACACAAAGCTAGCAAAGATGTTAAAGTAACAAAGGCCATCTAAATGTAGTTATTTAGCTAAACGCTAAAAACAACCTAAAATACTATTTTAAAGCTAAAGGCAGCAGCAAGTTCACTGGAAGTAAAGCCCAGCTAAAAGTTGAAGAACAGAAGCATAAAAAGACAAACAGAGCCAGTAGCTGAAGCAGATTTTAAGAGAACAGTGTTTTTGAAGCACCTGAGGAGATTTCCTATGTACTTCTGTACAGGGCGGTAGATATTTTAAAAAGTATAAAATTCACATCAGAGCTTCCTGGACGAGCTGAACTCTTTTATATATGAACAGCTAAAAATAATATGAACTACGCAGAAATTAGATTGCAAAAAATAAAAAAAATGTGTTAAAAAACAGAAAAACAACAATATGAGTGTATGTGTGATGAGAATAAAACAGAGTTTTTGTTAACTGACCTGCGTTCGCTGCATCCGAACATTGATGGGAATGTATTTTCCATCATCGTCGCCCTTTTTAGGTTCGATACCTGTGGGATAAATTTACAAAGCGTAAAAAACCACAAACCACCCAAGAAGAAACAACGGACAGCAGGATCGGAGGTACTCACTCTTCAGCTTCCTCTGGATCTGACTCGCTAAAGTTTTGATCTCATCTCGAAGAGTTTGAAGCTCTTTCTTCATACCTGAGTGGAGAGRAAAACAGGAAGTGACGGCGGGAAACCACCAATCAAGTTATTTCCCCTCAGTGTTAAAATGTTGGCACTGTTTGTTGATTTTATCCTGTTGCAGACAAAAACTAAATCAGAACACCTACTTTCTTCTGGCAGCGCCACGCCCAGGACAGTTTTCTGTTTGTTCTCCAGGTCAGAAACCATCTTCTTCAGGCTCTCCAGCCCCTCATGGATTTCTTGCACCTGTGGACGAGAAGCTTAATTAAACTTTTAGACATTTAAATAATAGCTTACTTCACAAATGAACCATTTTTGTCTTTTCAAATTTGAAGATTTAAGAGTTATATAAATAGAAAAACCAGTAATTTGAGCTAAAACTACAGAAATAATACAGAAATCCTGTATACTTTAAAATGTGATTTACTTACAACACTTGGAACAATATAAAACGTTTCTATGATTCATAATCATTGTTCCAGTTGAGCTAAACATTCAAACTAGTTAATCAGTTAGTCTAATTAAGTAGTTCAAGATCAGATCTGTTCTACTTCACTTCAGGTTATTTCCTGATTTAGTCTGGGCCAAAAAGACTTTCTTAATAACTTAATATCCATCACTATAATTGACCAAATCTCAAAGAACCTAAACATTTAACATGTGACATGAACGACTCAAAGGTGTATTAAAGTAATAATAAACAGCATTCCTCTGATAAAGGGTCAGTGCAAAAGCTAGAAAAAAAGTAGCCGTAGGTACTGAAGAAGTGCTGACCAAAAACACAACAAATATTACAAAAGGTTAGTCTATTTCTAATCAAAACATCAAAAAAATTAACTTGAGACTTTAGCATTTTAATGTAGATCTGTAGGTAGAATATGTAGTTATTCTTAGGCAAGTGATTGAATAGTTTAAATGCTCTAATAATGCATTTTTTAATTGCACTGATGGAAAAATACACAACTAAATTAAACATTAATGATGTGACTCAGTTATAATTAGACTGGAATCATCAAAAGTTGTCAAAACAAGATTTATTTTYAATCAGCAGGACTGACCTCTAACATCTTTTCTTTAATAGTATGAACCTATTTATCCTAAAATTATTACAAGACACTGTGAATAATCAGCAAAATACAAGACTACAAAGTAAAATATCTTAACTTTTTACCTTTTTGAAGAAAGCTTCATTGTCCTTGTCATCTTTAGCTGAAGATGTTCCAGGTTTGTTCACCAGAGCTCTGTCCTCGTCATCCTCATCTGAACCTTCGGCTTTCTGCAGAAACATCCATTAAAACAAAATCAAACAGATCAATAAGCTATTCATCGTTTTTCCACATGCCAGTCCCTGCAGCCCTGCCCTTCTTGGCCTCAGCTCCTGAAGAGGTGAAACGGAAGTTGGAAATCTGGTTTAAAGAAGCAGAATTCCCCTAGAAGCATAGCTAAACTACATTATTTCAACATCRCGTTCTGCTTTACTGTGTTAACGAAAGCTGTCACGGAAGAGTGCAAAAAGTTGCTGCTCGACTGAACCAGTAACTTTTTTGAGCAGGTTTAGCACGCTAATGTTAGCCGCTAACTTTTAAACTCACGTTTCCCAATTCTTTCGTTCGGTCCCGCATTTTTCCGACAGAAGGTCACGATTAGATATCCGAAACACCGCCKCGATTCAGACCTGAAACACCGGACAGACGTTCCTTATATCTAGACAGGTTTCACTTCTATCATTCAACAAATACACCAGTGTAGCAACACTTCTTCTTCTACGGACCAAACAGCCACAGCTGGCGCCGGCTGGTGCCCCCTTCCTTCGGCAACACTTCTTCTTCTACGGATTAAAAAAAAACATCACTTCCGCCTTATCACTGAAGAGAGCTCATTACTATTGCCGCCACCAGATGATGCTGTTCCTTCACAAAAACCTCAGATTTACCTGGATGGAGAGCAGCCAGTAATAAATTGGCCGTTAGTTTAGACTGGCCCTCTTGGACTAGGCTAGCGGTTAGCTTGTACTAGCCAGTAGCTCAAACTAGCAATAGCTGTATGTTTATACTAGCCTTTAGWGCAGAATAACCATTAGCTCGTATTTGCTATTATTTCATGCTAGCTATTAGCTCAGACTAGCCTRTAGCTCAAAAGTAAGTAATCACAGCTCAGACTTTTTTTTTTTTACCTTTATTCAGGAATAAACTTTATCATCCGCACTGAGGACATTCAAAAAGCTATCAACAACAGGTAAGATAATAATTTAATTGTTTATAACTTTCCACAAAACCCCGGCTTTTAAACTATCAATTACACAATTGATAAATATAGGGATGTGAGGCTGTGTGGGAAAGAACCACATTTCCCACGATGCACCGGYGGGGAGCGTCGCGCGTGTCATCGCCGGCGGAGAGAATTCGGGTTCAGCAGCATCTGCGGAGCGGAGCGGCTGACAGAAACACAGTGTTCATCAGTTTAAAAAAAAAGAAAAAAGAAAGAAAAAGAAAATGACCAGGAATTCGCCCACCGCAACGATGACCGAACCGGGGTTTTAAACGAACGGAACCTCCTCGGATTAGYGCCGGAGAAGACCAGACTTCATTTATCAATGAGATATTACGAAGAGARGCTCCTCTACGGCTCGCTGCTGAAAAACACAAGATGAAGAAGCAGTTCAACCGAATGAGACAGCTCGCCAACCAAACAGTGGGCAGGTAGGATAATCATAAAACATTTATAACCCCGAGCTGCAAACRTCCAGCTTTAATCACTCAGCTGAAAGCAGACATTTTGTTGTCACTCAGCTGGATTGGTTCTCACAAAGCGTTAGCTGTCAGTGTAGGTCACATATGCAGCTGTGTGATTGATTGAGTTCAGCAGGGAGGAGCGGACCCGCACACTGAAGAGGAGGCAGCAGATACGGTACCAAGAACCTGCTGCTGATGATGACCACCGACCAATGACAGGCAGGCTCTGAGGGCGGCTGATGGAGGAGCCTCTGTGGGGCTAAAAAAAGGGTTTAAAAAACAAAACGTCACACTTGACAGGTGGTCCAAGAGATGGACAAGTCCACCATTTCAAATAATCTTTTCCACTGGAACTTTGTGAATCTTTGGAAGATCTGCGTATTGTTGAAATCATACAAAAAACATGATGTTCCTGAATCGGATGGTGCCATTTAAAAGTACATTTCCAGCTATTTTGAGGTACAAATTGTAAAATGCGGGTCCACATTCACTGTAAACATGAATCTGCTTAAAACCATGTGGAGCTCGAGTCGTGTTGTCCCACTGTGGCCTGCAAAGAAATATAGCAGAATCGGACAAGCGTAGACTTTTGAACATGTTTAGATAAAAATATAGCGACTGAAAGAGTAGAAGAAGACAAGACAACTGTGATTAAATATGGAGAACCAAGCAAAGCACTGGAGTGTCATAAAATTATTTTTTGCTAAACTTCTGCCAGACTATTCAGTTTACTGTTTGACCTATTTTAAGTTACTTCAGCAGTTTCCATAGGTAAWATGCACTTTGTAATTGGCATCCAGATTCAGATTTGTCTTTTTTATTTTGAAGTTAGGGATACATTAACCATACAAGGCCAAAACCTTCTCCAACATAGACAAAGTTTCCAAGTTAAAAATAATCATTTTACTGTAAAGAACCATTTGGAACAAAATGTCTCCTGCTTGGTTTTCACCTGCTGTCTTCATGCAGTTTTGGTGCATTATGCGTTTTAACAAATCATTTAGGAGTCTTCRAGGGGCTTTACAAGATGAAGAAAAATACACACAGGTCACTTGTTTGTTGTCTACAGTTAGTGTAAGCTTTATGCTCCACGTTTTGTTTCCTATTTCTAGTGTGTTTTCCTAGTAGGGTTGCAGCGCCCCCCAGAAGCCAGGCATAGTTATTTTAGTGTTTATAATTTTTATATTTACAACTATATTTTTTTAGAATAAAAATGTTGTTTTGAATAAAAAGGCCTAAACATTTTCGAGACTGGTAAAAAAATTGGACTAAGGGTGATTCCTTGTGGAACTCCATTTTTAAAAGTTTGACAGATTTAATATATAAATCATATATTAATTAATTTTGTCTCTATTGGTTGCTAATAAATAAAGTTTTTGTTCCAGTTGTTCTGATTGTAAAGCATTTTGATGGAACATCTTAATTTTAACTGTAGAATTTCCACTTAAACCAAATAATTTAGTGCTTTTCACACTGAAACATGAAGATTTGCATGGAAGCCCCGCCTCTATCCGTCTGCCCCAAGGCAGCTGTGGCCACATTGTAGTTTACCATCATCAGTGTGTGAATGTGTGATGCATGAAATTGTAAAGCGTATTTAAAGGTCTCAAAAAAACGCCATATAAGACTAATACATTTATATTATTATTATTTGTCATAGCTCACGAAGGTTTAAGTTATTAATTCTCACTAAACCCACTTAAAACTGGATGCAAATTTAAAAGAAAGATTTAGATCGATGTGCAAATTTATGTGTCTGTCCTGCAAGGTTTGTTGCTATAATAAATCAAGAATTTTTAATCCTGCGGTCCAGACTGGAGGCTTGATGTCAAATTTTAAATGACCCATTTAGTCTCTGTTAGTCAGAAAACATCTTTTTTTATTGCGGTGTCCTTGTTTTGTGGATTCCTTGTCAGTCGGTGGGTCATGACATCTTTCACTGTTGAATTCTGTTTTAAATATTCTTTGTCTCATATGGTGTTTGTCAACTCCACCCATCACCTGTTACAGAGTCATTGTCATGAGTCAACATTACGCCCAGGGCAATTTAGATCATGTGTTCTTTAAATCTTTGAAAATACTGCGCAACTTTATATAAATTCACAGAAGTGTTTGCAGAACCCTTTTTGGACCAGAAAAAGTCCTGTCATCCCCTGCTGAACCGAAACTGCTCCAGGCTGAAGTATCTCTGACGTGTCATCACTATGCTAAAAACCAGTTTGGCTGACTGCAGTAACTGACAGGATGAGCACAAGATCATTGTTTTAGCAAGAGAAAGTTCTGCGCTGGAATCCAAACATCCTGCCAGAATTATTATGAATCGTCTTTAGCCTGATTTTCTCTCTGTCCTGAAGTAAATGTCACACAGAGTTAAATGACAAATACATTGTGGTAGAATTAAAACTAATGCAACAAAATACAAAAACGTTTCAAGTACAAGTTTTAAAGAATCCATTGACTCTTTCTGAGTCCAAAATTAAATAAYGGTAAATAAAAAAAATGGTTTACATTTTTCTTTTAAAGTACAAAACTAGTGAAGAAATATCAGACCCAAACCAAGTCAAAACTGATTCCAAATTCAAAACAAAGTCTGAAAACCAAACCACTGAAACCATAGTCAGACCAAACTTATCATTTCTAAACAAAATTTGAAGTTAGGTCTAATTTCTGTTTATTACATTCAAAATATAACAATTATACTTTTACTTATTTACTTTCAAATTTAACACCTACAAATTTAATAAAGACCAGAACTGCACACAAAAATGAAGTGTTGAATTTACTCAACCAACTTAAGTCCACTGGTTCCATTAAACCGAGATGAGTAAATGTATAAATTGCTGAATTTTCTTAACTGGATTTAGTGGAACCAGTTGAAATAAATTGGTTAAATAAACTCACCACTTAATTTCTTAGATTGTGTGTACATGTACTTTTACTTTCTCAATTTTTGTGAACAGTTTTATGACTTTTACTTAACTACCTTTCTTATCAGTGAAATTAGATGTTACCAAAGTCATTTTCTGTTAAGGTATTTTTACTTTGTTATTTTTTTCAAGTATTTTATACACCTCTGGTCAAAACTGAGTTCAAATCCAAAAGACACTCAAGAGTTTAATACCACAACAAGAAATGGTTCTTCTGAGCTGATCTAAAACTAGTCCAAACCAAGCCTAAAATCAGACCAAAATCTGAAGTCAGGTCTAGGACCAGTCCAAACTAGAATCTAAACAATGTCTGAATCAGAATGGTCATAATCTGTTAACACAAGTTTAAGTCTAATCAAGAGTCAAAAAGTGGAATAATAATTTTCTGGAGTGGAACTGCTGCTCCTCCACTTCTAAAGGGGTTAGTTAAGGTGGTTTGGGCGCCTTCCCCTGGAGGTTTTCTAGACATGTCTCATTGGGTGGAGACACCAGGGCAAACCCAGTACTCAACGCCTTGAGATCCCCCCCACGAGGAGCTGGAGAGGGAGGTCTTGGTTTCCCTTCTGGACCCGTTGTCTTATATTTTAACCCAAAACCTTAAAAAGAAAAAGTCAATTGTAGACATTTTTGTGTTAGCCAAGGTCAAATAGCTGTGGCTTCCAAAAACAATTTTATTTTTAGCACATAAAATTGTGCATCTAATAAAGCATCCCCCTTCAGAAACACAAACAGTCGCTGCATGGCTCCAGTTCCAGATATAGGTCAAGAGAGGTTCAGACGCAGTTAAATTCATCTCTCAAACAGTCTGCCTCCATCATTAATCCCGTGTAATGCTGCGTAAACTGTGCAACTGAATGAAAATGTGTGACTCGGTGTGTGTTGGCACTGCAAGGTTATGGCAGGAAGAGGACGTGCTTAATCCTCTTCTGGCTCTGTCACTTCAGCTTCTTTTTTTTAAGCTCATCTTCTCACTCCCATGTTTCTGTCTGTGATAAACAGAGAGAGTCTGGGGTGTGTGGACTGAAAAGTCACCTAATGAAAAAACGATGATTTCCCTGCAGCAGCTCAGACTGATGTGTCGGGGCTTTGTGGTGTCACGGTGTGATAAGGCTGAAAAAAAAAACATAAAAAAAATGTGTCAGGAAATGGATTTCTAACCTTTATCAACATACAAGGAAATAGTTTCTTTTTTGTTGCTGTGTGATACCTGGCTGCAGGTGATGAGACTTCAAGGAGTTCTTTTATTTGCTCAAACTGTGAATGTCTTCACTCAGTTTTTCATTTCATGCTTTGTTGTTTTCTGTGTTGTGTTCTCGGCTGCAGGAGCAAACGTCTGATTAGCTGATTGCAGGTTTTTTTTCTGACTGCACGCTGGTTTTTTACTCTATAAACCCAGAGTGGCCACTTGTGCAACCAGCCGTGCAAGTTAGGTTAGACTTGACTGCAGGAGGACACGACCTCATCTGTGACAGTTTGATCCTTCTGAGCCAAAGTTCAGCAGTTTGATGCTGAGATTCATGAAAGATTCTGCACAAATGCCCCCGTTTGACTCGAAATTACAGACTTTATGTTTCTTGAAAGAATGCAACGTGACATATTGCATTCAGAAAATGTGTTGAGGATGAATCTCAGCTAATACCACACCATATTTTAGCACAATTRCTGTAAAACTGACTAAATTATTATTTTGTTATTTGAAGCTGTAACAGCCTTCATGAAATGTGTTGACTTCAACAGTTAATCTGTTGTCATCAGACAACCAGTATTTGCTTTCTGATAGTTTGAGTAAAATCATTCCTGTGGTTCATGAGAGATTTTGCTAACACTAAGATCATGCTTGAATCTGTCGGTGTGTTTAAATCAGTGGCAGTGAATAATGAAGCAAAAACAAAATGTCAGCTTCATCATTAAAGTAAAACAAGCAGCTGCCTGCAAACGATTCATAAATATTCAGTCACAGAACGTGTTGGTTTAACAGGAAACACCTGATTTTTTTCTCTCTCTTTTTATTCAGCAACAGTTCAGCAAAACACTCCCTGA